ATTTGGACCTTACGCGTACGTTCTGGACAGTATGTGTTCTTTTTTCAAAATACGCATACGGTCGGACTGTACGCGTACGGTCTGTCTAATTTTCAGAAGTGGGTCAAGTTTATTTGATACAAATGATAATTACAGATCAACATAACTGAAATCTCGAATTAATATAAAAAGTTCAATTGTAATTGAAATAAAAACTTAATATTTCAACTATTTAAGAAAGTCACGCTAATTCAATCTGTTAATCTCCTATATTTAGCATGTCATTAATACATGAAATTGAATTATGCTCACTGAAATTGAAGTTGTCGGAAGTAAACATAATGTGGGAAGAAAAAGTTTTTAGAATACTTATGAACTTTACCATAAAAACCGTCAAACCAGCTGTTTACTTGTGAGAAGGCTGATAGAATTAAAAATATTTTGATAAATGGGACCTACACAGGATGAACTCATGGCAATTGATGATTTTATGATACTGAATGACATAATAGCTGACCCTCCTGATGACAGAAACTGTACCATGACAAAGGACGACGGATAAATGACGACTCACGACAGAATACGAAAGATACTGGACAGAAATTATAAACAATCTGTTGAAAATACAATGAGAAAATATAATAAAAAAGTGTCGAAAACTAATGCAAAGATTGAAAAGGGTTGCTTTGTTACTGTAAAAATACCAGTTGTTGATAGGACATCTGGGGATCTTCCCCAATTATTCTGTAGGGTTGATGATATAATTGGTAATAAAGATACAAGTTTGTACAAACTGTTATGTGAATTTGGCATATTAAACTCTTGTTAAGATATTGGTGATATACAACTTTTGAAACTGCACATTGGAAAACAGAAGGAATTTCATTGCATGCTGCCGCAAAACAAGCAAGCTTTTCTCTTGCTAGCAAGAGATGTAAATGCAAAGGAACATGCATGAACAAAACATGTAAATGTAAAAAATCTGAAGTTCCTTGTGGCAGTAAGTGTCACCCTGGGCGAGAGTGCCAGAGTGCCAAAATAGGATTCAGATAGACAATTAAATAAATATTTAATTGATTGAATGTCCACTTATTCACTTTATTCATCTAATTGTAATAAAATAATTCGTAAAACTCAATAAAAGATTTTGATAAATTTTTGTCTTAATTTAACCCATATGGGCCAAATACATATATAGTCCAACATTAACATGTCATAACAGCCAGAGAAAAACATGACCTTGTAACTAACTTCACAAAATCATTTTCTTTATACCAAAAAAATAAAATGCGCAACATAACTGGTCAAAATAATGCTGTTAAATGATGTCTTCCGTTTAATCACATTTTCATGTTACTCAAGTGCAAATATTGAATGCATACAGGAAGTAAACAGTATTCAAAGCTATTTAGCAATAAAGCCACATTTTTTTTCTTAGAACATGTTTACCAAACAACAAGATTGTTTTACAATAGCTTATGATGTCGTGAAGCATATATCTATCAGATTTTATAGATTGAATATACCTGTTAAAAAAATAGTTTCCTAGTGTGATGAACACCGTACATGTATAATGTAAAGTATTCCTTATCTATAAATTGATTCTTATTGAAATAAGATGAATGTGCACCAATCAGCTTGCCTTCAACTTGGTTTAGAAAATTTGAAACTGGGGCACTGTAAGTGTTTTTTTCTTACATCTTAAATAAGAAAGTCATAGTAAAGTTTAAATGATCATCGAAACCGATGTTCACCTATTTATCATATCCAACTAAGTAAGACATCGCGTGACTTTCCTGACGTTGCAATCCGCTATCGTTAGTCATTACCTTTCAATACACTTTATATTTTTCGTTAATCTGACCAATGTCCTACCTTTTGCAGCTGTTTCTATGGTGTTCTAACATTATTCTTCACAAAAATGTTGGTCTTGACAGTCTAAATTTAGATTGAATTACGATCTTGACTAATTGTAAATATCGTTCTCTGTCTCCTCCTCTGTCCATTGACTTTATAGCAAAATTTGCAACCCAACGTCTACTTATACATCTATTTCACAAATTCTTTAGATTAAAGTAATACTTTGAAGCTATTTTGTAATACCGATAACATAGATCTAGCAATGTATGCTACGTTTAAGAGTTTGAATTGATTACGTATCTAATCGATTGATAAAATTGATTTTTTTTGTATATCAGAATTTTTAAAAATGGCGGCTGTGTCATTTGTCGTGGTTGTACTACGGATACAATTTTATGTATTCATTATTTACTGAAGATTGTATTTGTTATCATGTTTCCTTTTATAGAAGCTTTTTCGATGCAAAAATATAAACTGTTTACAGTCCAGACATTTTATAATATCTTTTACATACAAAAAGACAGAGATAACTATAAAATCTTAGACAGAAGTAATGACACAAGATAAGCATTGTAAATAACAAACAGTATTATAACAATAATAATAAAAACAAATGATTAAAATATTATATATTTCCAGCTTCTTAATGTGTTATTTTTATTATATATATCAATAGTATAATTCATCAATTTTATTTTTATTTTCTGTGTGTAAAATTTGTAATTTAATTCTTAAACTAGTCAAATTCATCTAGATAAACTTTGCCGGAGGAACTTGGAACCTTAGTTTCTTAATAATTTTCATAATTTTAAATAAGTACGTTATGAATCATGTCAATACCGAAGCACTGACAACTGATCTGATGTTACCCTCGGGGAATAACAGTCCACCAGCAGAAGCAGCGACCCAGTGATAATAAATGAAAAGAAAAAATATATATATATGGTGATCCGATGGATAAAATCTGTCGTAGAGTTGTCACTGGTTCGGACGTACTTATAATATAATTATTTTCTGTGACTGCATCCTACATTAATTTGTAAGATCCTCTACGATAGATAATTCAGCTGATCTGTAATATTCCATCTTCATGCCTTATATATCATGTACTGTGTTACGACGCTAGATAAAAACTGACGAGGAAAGGTAACACCCGGCAACCGAAAGTTTGATTTTAGTCGAGCCTAGGTGGTCGAGTGGTCTAGCACGATGTTCATCCGTTGTTCGACCTGCTAGTCAAATGCGTTTTGTTAAAATATACTCTTTCACTTTTTTTGGTCTTTTGGAAAATGTTGTTTGTGCTGTATTTAGACCCCTCTACCAAGAAATTTGTTTTGCATGCACATGTATAAAAATTGCGATTTTTATCCAACTCAATCATAGGTTTGAACGTTGTTTTCAATTTAGACTTGCTTATATTTTTTCGTTTTGGGCTTGTATTATATTTGCCTTCGGGTTTTTATGATCCGTTCATCCTATTTCGACTCTTCAAAATCAAAGAGTCTATACTGAGTGGAGATAAATTATATGGCCTTCCAAAAACCGTTTCGATTCCCACCATCACTGAAGAGACATTAATTGTCGAAATCCGGATATGGTGTACTAATTTTTGCACCTTTTGTTTGCGGTATACCATCTTTTCCGCAAGTTTATTGTTTTCTGTTTGGCATTAAATTAATAGTTAAGATCCATTTTGTGACATCTGGTGATCCGTTTATTTGGCAATCGCCAATGGCAGTCAGCAGGGTTTAAGAACATCCGTTGTTCGACTTGCTAGTCAAATAAGTTTTGTTAAAATATACTTTTTTTCACTTTTTTGGTCTTTTGGAAAATGTTGTTTGTGCTGTATTTAGACCCCTCTACCAAGAAATTTGTTTTGCATGCACACGTATAAAAATTGCGATTTTTATCCAACGCAATCATAGGTTTGGACGTTGTTTTCAATTTAGACTTGTATATATATATATATATATATATATATATATATGCATTTTTAGAGCGTCCGAAAAAGAGAGGCAAAGATACCTTATGGTTAATACAACTCATTAATAAACAAACTGTCAATGCCATGGCAAAATAAACAAAGAAATCAAAACACAAACAATAGTACTCAAAACATAACGTAGAAAACTAAAGACCGAGCAACAGGAACCCCACAAAAAACCAGGAGTGATCACAGGTTCTCTGGATTGGTAGCAAATCATGCTCCACATGTGGCGCCCGCCGTGTTGCTCATGTAAGTACATAACCAGTAATAAGTCTAATTCGGTAGGTCACATTCGAGGAAAAGGAGGACGGGATTGTGGTTATGACAATTGAAACAGATGGTCCATAACGGTCAACCACTCCTGATGGCGTTAGCTAAATTTTCGAAGGGATAATGTCCACTTCACCACTTGGAAGCGCTTTGCTGGATTTACCTTCATCAAGAACATTATGAATATATCAGTACCGTAGCACTGACAACTGAGCTGATGTTACCCTCGGGCAGCGATATCAACTCAGTGTTAGTAAATAAAAACAAAATAAATACAAGTATTAAATTTCGTGCCCCCCCAAACTGTTTACTGGCTACTGAGTTACTGATACACTCGGTATCTTTGTATCCTCGGTGAGGTGAAGTTTTACAGTAATGGTTAATACTATTTGGAAAAAAATGCGAAGCCTGAGGTATCAATGTAAAACATGAAGATTTTAAGTATTCACTACTTCAATCAATAATCAAAAGTTTTATTACAAAGCGGGGAGGTTTCAAACAATAGTTTTCAATTTTGATCGATATCTTTTACAACTTAAATGAATAATCAGTAGAGGTTTTTAATACTATACATTTAAATATAGAATATCTTAAGATTTCGAAGAGAACGACAAAAATCTTCTAATGAAGAGAGTATTTTACATCATATAATAAAATAGAATGAAAATTTACAGATACTGATTCTTTATTGGTGAAAAGACCGTAATCATCTGATTATGTCATAAAAGATCGTCACTTGATCTCAATTTGGTAGGGATTTAAAAACAACAACACTAAATTATATGATAAAACTTAGTTACAAGTTAATATAATAAATAGAAGTTTATAATACGTATGTAGGAAACTTTGTTAAGTATTTCATCTTATGCTTTATTGCTAATGATATCGATTTTTTTTTTTTCAGTCAAACATATTGATAATTATGAAGTTAATGTGGACATCCGTGTTCATTTTCACATTTTTCAAATTCGTAAGACTGGAACTATCTCCAGATTTTGCAAATTGTCGAAAAGATTTTTTCTACCAAGAAACTGCTCCAATTTTGCCAGAACTGAAGAGTACAACTCAAATCTGTCAAAAACTTGGAAACAAATCTTATTTCGCTACTGAATATGATACTGAAAAAAGGATTCCACTTTACAGTGCATACACGCTTTCGTTTGAAAAATGCGGTAAACGTGAAAATGATTGGTTCTTTGAAGCTAAGCTAGCCGATATAGATGATCCAAATATGATTGAAATGGATTACGAAAATCACAACTATTCACGTACATCAATATATGGGAGTAGACAAGCAGTAGAAGAGGACTTTAAACAAACCGATTATGACAAGGGACATTTAAATCCACAGATGTTCCATTGCGAATCTTCTGACAGCAGAAAAGCCACAAATACGATGACCAATATCGCACCTCAATACTTTTTATTTAATCAGAACATATGGAATATGTTTGAAACTGATTTATATAACATCTCCAAAGTGTATTGTAGTTTTGAAGGAGCAAGACGCTTTTATATTACTGGTGTTAAACCAAGTTTTAGTGATTATATAAGTGATGGGAGAGTTAATGTCCCTACTCATTACTGGACAGCTGTATGCTGTGACTCTTCTGGTGTCAAAGGTGCTAACCGTTCAGCAGGATGGTCTATGGCATTTAAAGGTGAAAACGTCAAAAATTCCACGATATATATATACACTATACAAAATTTTTTTCCAACTGATTTCTATAAACTCTTTGCAGATTATACAGATGAAAATGGGAATACAGTAAGCAATTGTCTCTTCAACCCGACAAAAGCAGACACCATCACCGATGAGATTGCGACTCGAACTGACATTCATTATGTCAAAGTGAAGACATCTGTAAACAATAGTAATGAAACAAATGACAGTTTTGACGGACCAAAGAATAGAAATGAACTATAACAATTCTAAAGATAACATTTTAATAACAATTCAAACAAAAGGTTGAAATATTTAAGTTTTCACATTTTTGTTTAAATGATTGTTTAGTTTCAGCTTTTATTTGATTCGTTAAACTCTAAATACAAATGTATAAAATATGACAGGTACATTAGTCGAGGATTTTGTAGACAAAATTCATCAAATGTTTTAAATCTTATGAATTTGTTCATAACAACTGTTTTTATAATAATGTGGCATGATTTCTAATTGATCCAAAAAAAAGCAGTAAAAGATACTCGTGATAGGATAGACATTTTTTTTTTAATTTGCTGTAGGTCTGCTCTGAATATTTTTTACAAATCGTATCAGGAGTGAAAATATTATATTCTAAGAGTATAACACCAATGTGTAAACTGGTGACAAGGGAACAAAAGATGTAAAAACAGGAACAAAATCCATGGATTCTTTACGTGGGAAACCATACTGAATAAAAATTATTTCAAAACCACCTTCGAACAATTTTTTAAAGCCTTTCTGTTAAAATATCTAATTTTACATGTACATGCAAATGTATGTTGTCTTTCTTTTGTCGATTATCGAGACGCTTACATAGTAAATTGTTATATAAAATATGAACCTTTGCTCTCTATTGAAAACAAAAATTGAAAAATCATTTGCTTACAAAATCTAAAACTACACCAATTTTCAGAGTGTTCCAAGTAGCATTAAACAAATAGCCGAAATCCACTGGAGAACGTAACAACAAAAGTCCTATTCCCAACTGTTTGCAGTGGAGGTTATTGTTTGCCAAACATTTCCGCTGATTCAGCCACGGTCAATGGATGTTTTCGAGTGTCGCTGTTCTACGAGGAGCAAATATTTATACCGTTTTACAATGGCTGCGCGCCTGCTTCGACATACCCGAATATTAATTATACTTTTATGGGTTTTATTATTCGTTTTTTTATTTTGCTGCTGAGTACATACTGCTTTGCAATAATGCATGTTTTTATGTATGTTATATTCTATTGTTAATTGACTAGAATTGCCAGTTGTATTGGTGAGGGTCGATGGTTCTCTTCGGGCACTCAACACAACAATCAATCAAGTGTATGTTCTATTGTTGTAATGTTGGTTATGTTTTCGGACAAAAGATCGATAGACCTCATTTTTTTTATTGTTTTAAATGAAAATAAAATGTTCTTATCTTATTTATAAACCCACATGATAACAATTAATATTTTGACCTGTCCCTTTTGTTTACACGTTTCCAGTTAACATCCTAGTCAAGTTTATAAAATGAACTTCATATCAATAATTATCTCTTGTTTTTTGTCCAGCATTATCTCATTTGACCTCTTTGAGATTTGCTGCAAAATATAATTTACACTTTACTAAATATGGGGCGTCCGAAGCGCTTTTCTGCAATAGGACTTAGAGGATATAATTATTTTCAATCAATGCTTTTTGATTTTTTTTTCGTATTTCTTATAAGATATTCAATATACGAATATGGATAGTATACTGCACACTGCCAGAAAACAAAAAAATATTTGATGCCAATAATTTATATAGCAAGGAAATGAGAAAAAAGTCATAAAGAATTGATTGAAAAAAAATAATCCGCTGAACGAGTCCCTGTGATTATATTATATGCTAGATTTCTTAGGCACTCAGTTCTCCACAGACACAGACAAAAAAAACAATCCTACGAAAGCCAAAAAGGTTCATTCATATTTCATTATTCAAATTTCGCACATCAAGAATTGTTTTCCGCGTTAACGAAATCTGAGAAAGATCGCAGTTTGATACTCTATTGATAGCTCTGTTAAGTTTGGTGAGAATTTTTAATCCAGTTAGTTTCCACACCGAGTTGTTTCGTCCGAATTAGAGGGATACTTTGTTCCAAAACTGTGAAAATATTTTCTAGATTTATATAAAGGTGATAAACTAAAACATCAGGCAAAAGTTTTCAAACAAATGTTTACAAATATTATGTAGTTTGTCGTCTTATAAACAAAACTATTACAAATAAAAGTCTTATTGATAAAAAAAGAGAGAAAGAAAAAAAAACCAACTGGTAATCAAAAATCAAAAGCCATAGAAAAACAGCATCGCGAACCGCATAAAATAAACCGGGGGGTAAACTCAGTTGCTCCGGAAGGTTCAGCAGTTCCTGCTCCACTATTTGCACCCGCTGTGGTACTATTGTTGTAATACGTGTACGAGTCATATGAGGTGATTGTGTATCTTAAAATAGCATGTTGGTGAAGGTCTGACCCTTAAGATATCACTTATATATAAACTATCGAATGACACACAAGAATTCTCTAACCCTAAACCTGACCATATGTGAAATTTTGAAATGAAACCGGGGAAAGACTGTTTTCTTTGAAACAACACAGGCATAAGAAAATAGGATATAAAGACAAAAAACAACACTGAAAGTAAAGCAACACGAACCCCTTTAAAACAAAGCAAGGGGTCTGTAACACTTTCGAAGGATGACTTCAACTTTGAAATCTTGATGCAACAGCTTCCTTGTAAGCAGCATCCCTCCATCATGAAAATCATGATAGGAAGTGCAACCTCTGGAATATCGTATCCTATCGTATATAACATATAATAATATAGATAGTTTACTCCATATATAGTTGTTGGTAGCATGTTGCTACACAGAAATTGAAAGTTCCCCGTTGGAAAATTGAAACCATAGCTTTTGTCGTAAGCTTTTAGTTGTCAACTGACCCTCATTGTCAATTTCTAGATATAAATATCAAAATAAGAAGTAAGCCAATATTGAGACAGACTTAACTGTACCTGTTCAGGCGATAGCTTACTTAAATCTGATTCAAAAAATATATGGTTTCTATACACTTTTGCTTAAAATTAGGGAGATAATTACTACTTCCGGTTTGAAAAATGTCACTTCCGGTATAGTATGATAGGTAACTTGACACTGATCCCAAAAATATATGATTCTAGATACTTTAACAATAAATTAATGCAAAAAAAAATTGCTACTTCCGGTTTACTTAAGGTCACTTCCTGTTGACTTTTTCAGGGTCATGTGTTTTCCTACCAAATGCAAAAGACCCAATGGTTTTATCATGTATCAATATGAGGTTATAGCATAGGTCAGAATCTAGAATGTCAAATTTACTTTTGACCTTGACCTAAATTTTGACCTCAAATCAAAAGACCCTAACTAAGTCTATGCTATATATGGTTGATGATTTATATTACAATACAGCTTATTTCAAACATTACAGGGGACGAAACTCCCATTAAATGTCAACACATCCTTTAAACCAGAATATATGTGTCACGACATGTCGCAACTGACAGTTAAGGAAAAATCTTTTGTCAATATCTTATACGGCTTTTGACTCTATAAAACCAGGTTCAATCCACCATTTTCTACATTTGAAAATGCCTGTACCAAGTCAGGAATATGACAGTTGTTGTCCATTCGTTTGATGTGTTTTGTCATTTGATTTTGCCATGTGATTAGGGACTTTCCGATTGAATTTTCCTCGGAGTTCAGTATTTTTGTGATTTTACTTTTTGATAATAAGTGATAACAAGCCAAAATCAAAATCTAGAACATGACCTTGGCCTTTGACCTTGACCTTGTTTATTTTTAGTGGACCAAGCAAGGACCCCAAATCAAACAATCCTAGGTCCCTATAACTTATTGTTTACCTGTTTTAGGTCTCTATAACTTATGGTTTACCTGTTACAATTACATTTTACTTGTTTCAAATACAGAAGGGGAAATAACTCTCATATGGAGTCTCCGGAAATCTTCGGTCAAAATTAAACGTAACATTCTGCGGATATAACGAGCAATTTGGAAAAATTAATTTGACGCTATCCTTTAAGGTTGCTAAGGAGTAGTCATAATAAGAAAAACTGTTCTGGGGTGATAACTAATACAAAGGGTTAAACAGGGTCTATTTCAAAAGCGTATAAACTGTACGATATCATATACAAAAAATATAAGCGAATCTTTTGAAACAACAATACAGCGCAAGAAAAAAATTAGGAGAAAGAAAAAAAAACATTAATTAGAACAAAATCAAAAGGTCTTTCCACGGAAAAGTGGAAAGACCTTATTAGTCGACAAACCATAAAATTTTATATTTAAGGATATTATATCTTTAACTGAAAGTGAATGTAAAGGATAATCCCAGTTATTTCCTTGATAAGCACCTTGTATGAAGTAGAAATTAGAATCTTCTCTCGTTCAAACTCCGTTTTCCAACTGAATATTCTAGTAATTAAAATGCGGATGCGTTTGGGACAGTTGGGCGGCTCGTTTGTGTCCGTGTCGTTTAGTCCTTTTTTAATTTTATTGACAAAATGGGGCTGAAGTTAAATTTTAAGGATTTTCATTTTTGCCGGTCAAGAGATATGGTCCTGGATTAAATGAAAATCAGTTATTACTTTATGTCGTTCCGTGAAACAACTTGAGAAACATTTCACGTGTCCTTTAGAAATTTTAATATGTTGTTTCTTGTGACAAATAGTAAGTTAAGTTAATTTTTGACAATTTTCACTTTTGTCACTTGTGAGTTATGGTCTGTTTGTGAACTAAAGATGAGTCAGACGCTTTTTGTCATTTCCTTATGCAATTCAGTTAATACATTTACTTGTTAAGTTAAGGCATTTTAAAAGAATCGACAAAAATGCAGTTTACTTTTAAGTCTTCGGTTAACACAAAATCAATCAAAATTAAAGAAAAGTCTTAAAGGGAAACTAGCCACGATCTAGACAAAAATGCAAAATACAATTCCCTTTGTTTCAAGTATTAATAAAAGAGGAATTATAATGTAATATTTATTTATAAGCAGTCAGTTTGGTACGAATTTGTCAAGATAAGCCCAACAACATCGCTGATGTATTATTAACTTACAAGTCAATAATTCTACCTCATGTGACCTTCAAATTAACCCCTTAGCTGGAGATGGGTTACCCATGCACTAGGCGTCTTCAACTATTAAAAGAAAAAGAATATCAACATTGAAAGTGAAACAAGGTTGAACCAATTCGTTGACTGCTTCCATCCACAAAAAATCATTCTTGTACAAGTACAAACGATGATTCACATATTTTTCATCCTATAACATGAGATCAAACAGACCTAGAAAAATCCAATTGTATGTGCTCGCCAACTATTTAAATCTATATTTATGTTTATATCGGGTTATATGACCGTTGACAGTCTTCGGAGTTCATCTCGATGGTTAATTAGATGGCGTCTAGACTCAGTTTAATTGAAGTCTGGAGCTGGCATGTCAGTTTACTGCTAGTTATTCTTTGTTAATTCATGTTTTTCATTGTTATTTGGCTTAGTTTCTTCTGTTACTTATTCTAATTTTTGTTTTTAATATTAGTTCATTTGTATGTTTTGGAGTTAAGTGTTGCGTCCATTTTGCTGAACTAGTATATATTATTTGTTAATGGGACGGCTGAAGTCTGCCTACGGGTGCGGGATTTTCTCTCTGCCTTGAAGACCCATTGGTGGCGTTGGGTGTTTTCAGCTCTTTGGTCGGGTTGTTGCCTCTTTGACACATCCACCGTTGCCATTCTCTATTATATAAAATATACACGAAATGCTGATACATATTATGGAGTCCATGTATAGTTAATTGTTTTTTTTTGACTTTTTGTAATTTGGATATATGTTTTAGTTTGAAATAAACTAAATGTAAGAATTTGAGTCGAATCAGTGAAAATGAATTTGACAGCTAACGCCCCTTTAATTAACAAAGCACAAAATTTATAAAAAAATAAGTTGCTCTCTTTCTAGCAATTTTTGGGGCTAATTAATTTTGGTCGAGATGTGAAAAAGGTGGAAATATTCGCATAAAGCGAAACAGTTAAAGTTGTTGTTAGCACTAATTTGTAAACTACGTTAACACTATAAAAAATTTAAAGAATCAATAAGAAACAATTTCTTTAGTCCAGAAGAAATTGTCACAAGATGTCATCTTTGCGGCAATTGCCGCACTATACACATCCTTTCATTTTAAAGAATATAAAAAGTGAACAGTTGGCATTTATCCAAAGTTGAAATTGTTTGTGTGTATTAAAAAGTCTATACAAAAGAGAGGCGAAAGATACAAAAGGGACATTCAAATTCATAAGTCGAAAATAGACTGAAAACGCCATGGCAAAAAAGAAAAAGACCAAATGACAAACAACAGTATAAAAAACACAAAAACATAGAAAACTAAAGACTAAGCAACACGAACCCCACCAAATACCGAGGTGATCTCAGATGTTCCGGAAGGGTAAGCAGATCCTGCGCCACATTCGATTTAATTGAATGAAGGGGCCGTCATGACCGAGTGATCTAAGTAGTCCATCTACTGTTTCACTGGCTTGTCAACACTGTTGTTGTGGGATCGTTCGACTCTAATCTTAATTGACTACGATTGCAAGTTTTCTTCCGGAAGGTTCTCTCCGGGCCTTCCGGCTTTCTCCACTAATAAAAACTGATTGACTGTTCAATACAGATATTAAATTTCAATATTTATAAAGTGATGTTTGTGTAAGTTGTTGAAACAGCAACCCAACGACATAGCGAAATTAGTCAAAAATCTAAAAATCCAAGCAAATAAAAGAACACTTGTGAATGAATGACCAAAAGTAAATGAATCTTTATTTCAACTATGTATATGAAGATTTAGTAAATACAGAACGCATAGTTACACAATAAACAGCATCGACATTCATTTTAAAAAAATCAAATACATATTATATCCATTAATTTTAACTCGTGGTTTTTAAAAATAAAATGAATTAATAAATGTTGTGATTTCCGCGTGGTTGCGTCGTCTATGAATATACAGTTATGATTTTTTTGAAACATATGACGGTTACGCGGTACTTGAGTTGATTCAAATATTTTACCAGAATGGGTGAAATGTGATAACTTAAAGTTATAATTCTCTTATGTTGTATGCATTTTAATTTTAAACCATTTATGATTTGTCACGTATAATTTCCCGCCATATCCAATCACTAATCATAATTCATTAGAGAAACAGATTATTCAAATTTGGCCAATGGATGTCTACACTATTTATATACTATCGGTTACCACATTTAAAAAATAAAAGAATGGATAAATATTGTAATTAAATTAACGTGGCGGTTTTGAATAATCTATATTTTATTGAAACTCGGTGTTTTGAACACCATTTTGAATGCCTCATTGCGGTTGTAAAGGAGGGTTGTTGGCTATGAATCCTGAACTATAGTCCTGTTGTGGTTGTTGGGTTGTAACATTTCCAATAACAGGCTGAGGTTGTACGGATGGTACATATTGATTTGTGATCTGTGGTAGTTGAACTGCCATCATCGTTGGTTGTTGTTGCAGTTGTGGTACATTCTGTTGTTGTTGAAAATTTGTTGCTGATTGTTGATTGGTTGTCGAGAATTGTTGTGGCATGTTTTGCTGTAAATTGGGTTGTGCCTGAATCATTGTTGGCTGTTGCACGATTTGTAGTGGGGCTGCTTGTTGTTGACTATTTTGTTGTGTCGGATTGTAATTGTTAGTAACAATGTTTTGAACTGGTTGTCGTTGTTGGTAGGCAACTTGGTTTTGTTGTTGTACATTTGATACAGTGTTGTGGGTTTCCTGAACCATTATTGGTTGGTCAGATGCATGCACATTTTGATGTACTTCTATGGCATTCCCAGAATCATGGTAATGTGTCCTTTGTTCGCCATTCCGACCATACCTCGGAGTCTTGACATATCTCCTATTACCAGTCTGTCTATATTCAGTACTTACTGGGGGAACAGACTGCTGATCTTCAAAGTTATCATCCACGTAGTTATCTGAAATGTAATAAAATATTTGACCTTAAATTGACAGTAGCTGAATTATTTATATTGAACTAAAACTAAGTGAGCAATTTCGTGAGTGAATTGAACGTATGGATTGTCTGTTCCTATTTGGTTTTGGTGCTCTCAAAATTTTTATATCTTTCGCTCATAAAAATTTGGACTCTGACATGCCTGAGGAAGCTTTTTCTAGAAGCAATCACTGAAATCAGTATCAATCATTTATTGTAGCATGTAACTGGTTTTTAATGTTGTTGAGTTGCTTTCTCATAGATGTATAACCAACGTTGTCATTTATTCATAATTCATAGCACCCATTTGTTTACCACTGAGTTTTTTTCATGTATCATCAGTCATACTTCAAGGCAGATGACAACATTTGAACAATAGAAATTGCATCTAAACCGGTTACAAATATGGAAATCCAAGTACATTTTATACAGAAATTCAGAGGTGTCCTTTTCTCAAATAAACTCATTTCAAATGCTTACTAGCTTGTATATTAAAGGACAACCACATGAATCTAATTTAATGTTTTCAATTGTGAAATACATTGCACATTGCATTTCGAAATGAATTGATTGTTAACTTACATGTCTGGGTTCTAACAGGAGCCACTTGATTTCGTTTTATGTTGTGAGCAGGTATGGGATAATCCTCATCCGGAACTACGACAGTCTCCTTCCAAGCTTCCGGTTGGCGTTTTATATCTGTACGATCTAGAAAACAATAGATATGAAATGTGTTTTTTTCCAACGTTTTTAAATGAACTATGCAACATAAAATATTCCTGTGTAAATCATGAAAGAATTTTAGCATTCATTTTGTAGTAATTTTTATACCGTGCATATTGTCAGATATTTCCTATGTTGGATTTGTGAGTCATTGGGTACCAGATGCAATATTTGGTATACCGATATTTTACAGTTACTGTAACTGTTGCCTATGTTTATTGAAAAGTAAAAATTACCGTCTGAAGCATTATAGTAGACCTGACCCTCGCCTCTCTTGTTCTCTTTCGACAACTTGTTATCTGTGACGAAAATAACAAATAATGAATGTTATAAATAAAATATGACCAAATTATAATCATAGTATAGTTTAATAATATTACATGTATGTTCCATAAGAATCCGTACTTTTGACTGAATGACAACACTTGAGGCACTCCAAGATCATATTTTATTTCCGTATAAAATTCAACCGTTATTGACTGCACATGCCATCCGTGACAACGTTAAAACATGTGCATTGAAAAAACAAACTAATTGCTTGATATAACTGTTAATTTCATGGTTGTAGCATAAATATGAAATTATCAAAATTGAATTCTTCTTTTTATAACTTTATAGTGTTGTTAAAGAAATGATCGTGCTAAAAAATGTGCTTCGGTCAACGCTTTTACCATGTTTACACCCAAATAAAATCACAAGATGCATTCAATTCTTAAAATAATGCTTTTTTATTTTGTGAGTTTTTCTACGATCTTAGACTAATATGTTTCTTATATTTATATTGTTAACGAAGGAGAACTGTAGATCTATTTTAATGAGCAGTACTGTAACTCCTTAGAAACTAAATAACTGAATACAGTCATTTATTTGTTACATTTAGTATAATAGTTCTTATATATGTGAATTTAGATAAATCATTTCCTTTTATAATTGTTATCATTTTTGCAGAACTTAAATTATTGTTTTATAACGAATTAAAATAAAGACGTAAAGAAATTTTAAGGTTGTGATTGTGATCAGATTCGCAATTTCTGAAATTAAAAATAAAAGTGATATAATTCAGTTAATCTAGTTTGCGCATCCGTAAAATGATGAATCAAGTTAAATAACAATGTAACTTGTCGCTTATGTAACTATGTAGATAATTGATGAACATAAATATTCAGTATTTGTATACCATTATCCTTTGTGTGTGCATCATTTTCCTTGATATCTGATACTTTCTGACGTTTTATTTTTCTGCATTTCACGCACACAATAATGATGGTGATAATCAGCAGCAATATTATAAACGTCTGGACCATAAGAATCACAAACGATCCTTTCCCCTGCTTAAAACTTGGAACATCTGAAAAACAATGTACTATGATCATCATTTAACGCCATCTCTTTGTTTAACATATTGATGATAATGGATTGGTGTTTCACGTCCAACTGGCAAATATTGCAATGATTTCAGGACAAAGATCATCGTGAACACGTTTAATGTGTCATGGCAACGACCGAAGCCTGCTTTGTACTATACCGACACCCAAGCCAAATTTTTTACGTCATAACGGCGTAACAGTATGCAGGAAGATATGTCACGCTTCCAGGACAAATTATTCTGACTACTGGTCAACTATTGTGTAGATAGATAGATTGATTTTTTTTTAAAAGTACAACTTGGTACATGTACATGAACTACAATATATTACAATTTCAAACATATGTACATGTATATAGACATGCCGAGTGATGAAATCTTGTATGCCAAATTAAAAATGTCGAAAGGTGGTATTATCAGATTATTACATGGCATTTTCATTTCAGATGTATTATCAGCCCAAGGTTCAATATCAGCTTAAGAGCCAAAGGCTCGAGGGCTGATAATACATCTGATATGAAAAATGACATGTTATGATATTTTTATAATATGCTTTAACAATGGAGAAAAATAACAGTTTAATATATTGATCCTTTTAAGTGGTTCTCAAGTAGAAGTTCTAAAAATGAAAAGTTTACGGACGTCGGACGCCAAATGCATGTATTACATTCGATTTGAAATATTTTTATCATATGATATCATATCTTACTTTCAAAAATATTGCTATTTAAATATTGATAATTGATATAAAAGAAGAAACGGTTCCTCAGAGTAAAAGGGGTTTGTATTAATTAAGGGACAAACAAATTCAATTTAATCAAAAATACAGTCCTAGATTATTAAATAATCAAATAATCATGAAATGTTGGGTCGGGTAATCAAATAATCACTATAAAGCGGCCAAGTAATCACATAATCAAAAACCCCATGAGGAGGCTTATTTGTATCATATGCCGAGGGTCTGGTTGGGGTGTCTTCATTTCTGTATTGAAGAATTTTTTATTAATTCTTTATAATTTTCCTTATTATTTTTATTCTTAATCCCCCCTCTTTTTTATATACATTTGTACTTACTGTGGCAGAAACTTGGTGCCCAGTCGTAGCAATTGTTGGTGTTGCCATGAAAAGTTCCAGTTGAGTAATCTGCATAACACGATTGGAAGATGGAGCACTTAGTACATCTGTGCTCAAAAGCATCTTCATACTGAAATGGACAACTTAAAAAGTAAATCATTAAACGGTGTTTCTCGGTTTATCTTTTTCTTATTTCATTTACATATATATCGTATACTGAACAAATATACGATGTCTCCATTTATGTGTATATTTGCGTCCATTTTATTTTTGTTTTGAGATATGAAAAACTTTTGTTTGACGAAAACAAAAAAAAAAGTTGTTCTTTGAATCTACTAGTATACTAAAATAAACAGTATTGTTAAAATAATTGACACCGAAGAAGGCTATTTGTTAAGCCGAAATATTTGTCAACACGATTTATTAACAACATCTTCGTATAATACCATCTTATATTAGTATCGTTGTGCAAATCTCTAGACTTATATATATTTATATATATATATATCCAAAGCACATGGTAGAAAACTTTATTTAAACCTACCAGACATGTTCCATGGTTATTCGCACAAAATGAGTAGTCGTCAGCACACATTTCCTGTACGGACTGCTTCGTTTCTTTAGAATTGGAGTTTAAAAATGATACAGCTTTCTCTTTTTCCAATGATTCTTAAAAAAAAAAGAGAGGCATAAGTACATGAAAACCAGAAAATCCTAATTTGTCTTTCGAATGGAAACAATTTTATATGTGATATCATTATTATTATCATTACCCTATCATAAATAACAATAATAATATAACACGTTTTATTATTATTATTATCCTTGCTGTTATTATTATTATGAAAACAGTTAATTGTTATTGTAAAATTAATCCTCGTCTCCGTGGCCCTCTTTGTAGCGAGCTCGCCAAACATTACAATGAGCACTAATTTCTGCTTCTTGGCGAACCAAGCAGCATTAACTTTTTATAAAAGTAAGAACTAAGACTGATCGGTTTGGAGCAAGGAAGTGGAACCAAATATACATGTACTTTATTGGAGTCAAAATAATGTGTCCAGGCAAGGAATGTGTATGACATACGAGTATTTTTACTCTTAAGATATTTTGTGAAGAAAAAAAAAACCGCTGGTCTGGAACAAAGTACCGTATATTTATCATATTTCCATGCGTGTTTATAATTTGGTTGAACTCTTTCTGTAATTTAAGTTTTAGAAGTTATGAAGTTTGACCCAACGTTACAGATCACATTTATTGGGTTCGTATGTGGAGCTTATTTAAATGTTATCTTTTACAATTGAATTAAAAGTCTTTACTTGTTTTAATTTTCTTTACTTCTTTTAAGTTGAAATGATATGACGTTTTCTCTGATTTTGTTGTGTGTTATGGCCTTCTATCATGCAGAAAACATAACCAAGAACCTCAGCCAACTGATATAAGTAAGCAACGGGAGCCATATTAAAATTATTGCTAACATTTGCAAAATGCATGTACCTGTAGAAGGAATTGTAGTCCCTTCATTCTGTATAATCAATGTCCACAATAGGCAAACTGCAGCAAGCTGAAAAAATGTAAAATGACTACACTAACATCTTATATATTTTGCTGTATAAAAAAATCTACACTGCCGTATACAATGACGAAAAAGCAGTTTCCTTTAGCTGGTTTCTACAGTAGGTTTTTCAGTCGAAACTTGAGAATTTTAGAAGACACATTGCCTTGTATTTTGTTTCATAAAAAAGAAATACATACAGTGAAACTTAATTTCAAAAATTGCTTTTTCGAGTGTATTGGACTTTTTAATTTTTAAATTACGTATCTCATTACATTTTATATAAAAATTGTATAAAGAAAATACAAATGAGTAATTTTCTGGCTAAATGTATTTGAACGAAATTTACCTTGCGTTTGAATTTTTCTGACATTATACGTTCTTTCCTCTTTACTATTAAAGTTAACGAATCTTTGTTTTAAATCGGCAGTTCTTAATTTATATGTTTTTAAACTATCAACATTGTAAAGAGTTTCACAGTGCATTAATATTTCTAAATAAATAGGAATCGTATTTCAATATTTAATAATTATTTAATAATATTCAGATCCCCAACTGACATATCTTGTTTTAAATCAGGGAAGTTGGCAGAACTGGACAGAAATTGATACACAATAGATGACATTATTGGCTTTTGTGTCCATTTATTTTATCCATAATGAAAAACTAGATCAAATATAAACAAATGATAATATCTTTTTATGAAATTGAATACAGGTGCATCAGATACATTTTCCAAAATGTATACCATACTGCCAAAAATAAACGGAGGAAAATTTTAATCAAACTGCATTTAGCACCCTTGCAAATAAATTAAGACTTAAAACGTGTAATGGAACCCGCTGCATTTGTTTGCACCTGTCCTAAGTTAGGAACCTGTTCAGTGGTAACCGTTGTAGTTTGTTGATGTGGTTCATAAGTGTTTCTCGTTTTTTATAGATTAGACCGTTGGTTTTCCTGTTTGAATTGTTTTACACTAGTCATTTTTGGAGCCCTTTATAGCTTGCTGTTCGGTGTGAGCCAAGGTTCCGTCAGTGTTGAAGGCCGTACTTTTACCTATAATGGTTTACTTTTTTTTATACATTGTGACTTGGATGGAGGGTTGTCTCATTGGCACTCATACCACATCTTTTTATTTCTATTAAACCTTTGTTCACTGTGATCAGTCAATACACACCGTACAAATAAGAGATCTTTATAATCGTCAAAATTCGCGCATTTCCAACTATATATGTGTTTACAAAATCCACAAACAAATCAAATCAAATTATTTATTGGTGTAAAATCTAAATATTGGATTGTTACTAAAACATACATTATTGTTTAGGTCCAGCTGAAGCACGCCTGGTGCGCGATTTTCTCGCTGCGTTGAAGACCCATTGGAGACCTTGGGCTGTTTCTTGCTCGTTGATCGGATCGTTCAATTGTTGTCTCTATGACACATTCCCCGTATCCATTCTCTATTCTATGAGTATGACATACAAATAACAATATTTATAAACATATACAAAATTCAAAAATAACAAACCTTCATATTTATATATGATATATTTAGATTTTTTGGAGGAGGTGGTTTTGCAAATTTGAAAATAGTTGAACAATAGTCTTAATGAGATTGTTGTTTTTCTAAAATTTTACATTTTAAAGCAAAATGAAGTTCATCAGTTCAACCCCCTTTCTATAGAGGGACGTTTCAAGAGGTAATTTACGGTTTCTACTCTGTCCTGTGTTTAAATTACTATTACTTAATCCTGTAGTCAATATATTATGTCCCAGCTTATTCTTATTTTCATAGAAATGAGATATATTTTTCAGCAATTTATTCCACCCCTACAGCTGGGACTATTATATATTTTCATGGTATACTGAAAGAAAATAACAAATATAATGTATATACACTTTTGTAAATAATAATAAAATATTGGCTTCGAGTTGGTAGAACGGTACGACGGTTGGTTGATATGAGTTGGCTAAGGTATATAATTCATTATACAATAAACATAGAAGCTATCGTGTGTTATATTTGTCAGTATTCTGTCTATAATTCAAATATATATATATATATATATATATATATATATATATATATATATATATATATATATATAAAAATAAGAAGATGCGGTATGATTGCCAATGAGAAGCAGCATGATTGCCAATTAGACAACTCTACACCAGAGACCAAAAGACACAGAAGTTAACAACTATAGGTCATCGTACAGCCTTCAACAATGAGAAAAATCCACACCGCATAGCAAGATATAAAAGCCCTGAAATGACAAATGTAAAACAATTTAAGCAAGAAAACTAACGGCCTGATTTATGTAAATAACAATAAACGAAATACAAATATGATATACAGCAACAAAAGGCAACCACTAAATTACAGGCTGCTTTTTCTGAACTTCACTTATAATTCTCTTAGAATAGAAAGTTTAATGGAAATCTGTTATTTCGTTCTCTTAATTTTTTTTAGGATGAAGGTAAAGCAGGTGATATTTTACCTATTAGTCTTTTACCAACAAAAATGATAATTGTATTAAGAATTTAAAATATCTTTCTTAAACCTCTTAAACCAACAGTGATCTATATATTTTTTTTAGCTGAACATGTAATACTATACTTGTGCTTGTTGTAAAACAAATTTAAACAAAATCTTATATAAATTGTATCCGTTATTAAAATCTAAGTATGTCAAGACACAATTTTCCCTATTATTCCTTTGTAAAAAAACCCTCCTTATTTCGTTGGCCTATTAAACGCTTAAATGAACAGTGACCCCCTAATTTTATTTTATTATTTCGATCCACTCACCTTATGGGATAAAATATCAAGTTTTCAGGAATTTCTTATATAACGTGTTTATAGCCTCGAGCCTCCTTAGTTTTTCAGAAAGTATTTTGATCTTCACTTACTTGATTGAACCTATTTTTGAAAGAACATTTTTCCATTTGCAGCAAAACCATTATGTATGTATTTGCATGAAACATGAAATAGCGGAACAACGTTCAAGAAGAAAAAGAAGAAAATACTAAATCCGGAAACTATCGATGACCGTCTTTGTTTGACACTACAATAATCTGGTAATTTCCGGTAGAATCCGCGGCAAATTTTTTAACACTAAATTTATTGTTATTGATCTGTCGGTATCATTTAAAACCAAAAGTCATGTCAGAAACACAAGAAATGGAGATAGAAGAGTCGGTTCCCCAGAAACCTACTCCAAAAACTACATATGAAATGCCTTGGTAAGACAGAAAATTATGAAATCATTGAAATCTTGGCATACCTTAAGATTATCTATATTTTTCCCGTCTGAATACTAACCATAAGAAAACATAAAATACCCTGTTTTGCTCCATCCTACTAGTGAATATGACAACAGCATTAGGTACCAAATGCATCTCAGGAAGGGAGGAATGATTTGATTACATGTCATCACTGACATCAGGGCTTGACCAGTCAAGGGTGTAACTTAAATAAGTTATTAGAGAAAAATAACATACATGTGTTATTACAGATACTTTCATGAGTTATCTACTCTTTTTTTCTTAATCTGAAGTAACATACATGTATGTTTGTTATCAGTTAAATGTATCATAAAATTTTATATTTTCAATGGGCACTTGGGAATTCTTCAAACTTGCGCAGTAACTTAATACATAACCTTGAAAAGTAATTTTCCAATTCAATTAATACATGTTTGATCAACCATGGTAAATCAAAGAGACAAGGCTTGTAAGTGATAAACTTAGTTATAACAGGCATGTACAAATGTAACTTATTATATGAGACACTTGGTAATGACTTGGAAGCTTGTGCAGAACCTTATTACATGCTCTGATCATTATTTATTAAAACAAATTAAAAAACATTGTGATATATGTCTGAGAAAAGGCTTTGAAGAGATGTAGATAAGCTGTAATAACACCCTTTAGTTATTACAGGCATATATTTTCTGTAAAAACATAGGTGTACTATGCATGATTGGCAAACTATGGACTGTTATATCTTTCTAAAGTTTAGTTTACATAAAGACAATTATAATATCAAAAGAACTTGTATACAATTTAACAAAATAAAGCTAAGGATGTATATTGCCCCCTTTGAAACATGTAACATACATATATGTCATGTATGTTATCACAGATTTTTGATTTTTGTCGAGCCTTCGACTTTTGTCGAAAAAGTGAGACATAGCGATCCTACATTCCGTCTTTGTTGTCGGCGGCGGTGCCCACAAATATTCACTCTGTGGTTAAAGTTTTTGCAATTTTAATAACTTTCTTAAACTATCCTGGATTTCTACCAAACTTGGACAGAAGATTGTTTATGATCATAAGATAGTATCCAGAAGTAAATTTTGTTAAAAAAAAATCATTTTTTCAGTATTTTACTTATAAATGGACTTAGTTTTTCTGCCAGTTAACTTTACATTCACTCTTTGGTTAAAGTTTTTAGAATTTTAACAACTTTCTTAAACTATCTTGGATTTGTACCAAACTTGGACAGAAGCTTGTTTATGATTAAAAGCTAGTATCTAAAGGGACATTTTGTTAAAATTTTGTTCCATTTTTTTCCTTATTTTACTTATACAGTACATTCCGGTTATTTGCATAGCCTATTTGTCAGACAAAATTATGCAATAAAGTGGAGTATGCTTATATCAGAAATGCCAAATGACAGAGTCAAAAAACATCGATAGAACAGATCAGTAAAGGAAATCCCTGAAGAAAGATGAACGTCTATAATCCAGTTACAACATATTGAATGTTGATTTATTCTAATAAAAGTTATATGTCTAGTGTCATACATGTTATTTTATTTTGTATTATTTCAATAAAGATTATAAACACATTTTGTTTTAGTTTATTTGCGTACCGACGTTTCCTTTACCAGTTTACCTGGGATACGAAAATAAATTCGTTCTAAAAATAGATTTGTTTCTATGACCCGTATGTACAATGTACATTGTTACGCTTTGATTAAAATAAACTGTTTTACAAAATTACACAGTTTATAATCATTTTAACAATAGATGTGTACTAAACTGCCTTTGATATACAATATTTACAGCTTGCAGAGTGAAGTAACACTGTTTATTTAACTTCGTTAGTTTCGTATATATATGCAAAGCAGTAATGGGGCCCTGTACGGGTTATTTGCTGGACACGAGTATTGAAAGTGAGAAAATATAATAATTAGAAGTAAATGCTCTTTTCAAAATATATTAAAATTAAATGATTGATGTATAAAATTCTTTAACCATATATAAATGCCCTGTAATATTTAACATAAATGCAGATCACCCCAAGCCCAATTACGAGAGTTCACATTGGATAATGATCGATAATTAGCAGGCGTTATTGTTTTTGAATTTCACCCCAAATGTAATCTATGGACAATGTTTGAAATCCAATCAATTATTTACACCTTTTTAGATAGAATGGTCAGTGTTTTTACTACAATTACCTGTTTGACATTTTTATGACCTCGAGGCTTAAAATAGAACATGGGAAACTTTACCTGTGTAGATATCGAGGTTTATTTTTATATCAAATTCAATCATATAAACACGAAAGAAACTGTTTTAAAACTTTATTTGAATAACACAAAAGTAATTATATGAAATAATAATGAAAATAATGATGCATTCAAGAAAAATATACTCACCAATTTGCCGTTTCCGGTCAAAAATTTCGGCAGATTTAACCAAGCATATCTAGATGGCGATTATTTTCTATGCAATAAACCGAAAGGCCACTTGTAGAGCTATGCATATAACCGGACAATTTAACATTAGATGAATGGGAAATGGTTTTGTGCAGGAGAAAACTATGCAATTAACCGAATTATGCTATTAAGCGGTATGCAATTAAGTGGAGTCGACTGTAAATGGACTTTTTTCCAGTTAACATTACATACAGTCTGCAGTTAACGTTTTTAAAACATTTATTAGATTCATAAACTATCCTGGATTTTTACCAAACTTGGACAGAAGCTACCTACAATCAAAAGATAGTATAGAGAGGAATATTTTTATTAATTTTTTTCCTCATTTTTGTTGAGCCTGCGATTAACAGCAAAAGTAGGCGAGACACTGGGTTCCGCGGAACCCTTACAAATTTTTTAACCCACAATAACAAATGTATGTTATTTTTCTCTAATAACTTATTTAAGTTACACCCTTGACTGTTGACATAATTTACTGTTTGTCCAGGTCAGGTGTAGATAGGCTTTGGACAAGAAGATAAGGTGTCTGTCAAATTAGAACTAAAGCCCTTATTCACCTACAATTTGTGTCATTATTTCCAAGGTGTTACATAACATAATTACCAATTTTAAAACATTGAATTGATGGAAGGTTTGCATCATTTGATGACTCATTTGCTTCCTTTGTCACATTTATTGCCATGGCCAGTCAACGTGTGGTTAAATGGGCAAAGGCAAACAAATTTTGATTTTTTTTAGGTTTTATATCTCATTAGCACATGTAGCATATCATATGCCTATCACCTTATCAATCTAATTTTACCATTACTGCAAGCATGCATGATTTTGTAAGTCAATTTCCAGTAAAAAAGTGTTGAGGACTTGTAAGATCTGCACGAGTAAGGACCAACAATGGGGAAACAACTAGACCGATCGCAAAATTATATCCATTAGAAGTTACACAAACGATGACAAACAATTCTAACGTTCCAATAGATGATCAGCATGAAAATATGGAGAACAGACCGAGACGAAAAGCAAGTCTTAAAGCCAGTGAGACCATACGGAAGTGGATACACCAATGATGTTAAAGACGACCATTAGTGATGTAATTGATAGACAATTACGCGTTTTAGTGCAAAGTTGAATTTAATTCTTATTTTATGAGTGACATTAATTGAATTTAATTGCTAAATGTAATTTCCGTTTTAAATGATTTCATGTACTCAGTATTTCAAAGAAAAACACAATGCGAGAGACAATTTCAAAGTATTATTATTTATTGATGGACAGTAATTTATCAGCACTTGAAACGATTGATCAATGGATAATTGAGATTATTTAGAAAATTGAGATATTTTTTACTTTTCGCGGCCCCAGTATGTTGAGATTGTCGCGGGAACATAATGTCCGTACTATTGTACTTGTCCATTGTCGACGTCGTATTGTCAGTGACGTGGCCTTGGGCGGAAATACGTTATTGTATTTAAAATATAATGGCTGAACAGTTGTCTTTATACACATTGCCTTAACTATCATCTATAAAAAGATGGACAAGAAGCACATTTTCGGACAGGATTTATCAGCTAAAGCAGTGATCTCCCCAGGACGATATGATGCTGCGGTCCCGCAGTGCCTTCCAAATATTTTTGTTGTTCCCCCAGCACATACATTGGCACAAAGTCCCTGAAAAAATAATTCTGCAGCGTGTTAATTTTCATATTTAATTATGAACTGTTGATATATAACTTTTGTAAAGTTAAAGATCACTGCTGAGAAGAAAATTAATATAACACCCAATTACGCAATTATCGATTGACTCCAGTCTATCCTTTACCTGTATTTGCCTTATCTGATCGCGTAATTGCATAGATTATTGTCGAAAAGTTAAATAATATTGGATACTTTTTTCAATGTTTCAGGGTTAGGATTAAAGGGAAAGTTCGAAATACAAATATGAAACGTTTTTACATTTGGCTTTCCTGATTAATTGCTGAATTAAATATCAAATTTTCTAATTAGTCAATTATAAAAATCTTTATACGATCAATGAACATATTGAAAACAAGTGGTAACTTTGCAATACACAACTACAAATATTTATGAATGGAAGTTGTTTTACGTAAAAAAACGTAAAGAAAACCAATATTTATGATAAATTCATAATTGTGAATCAATAGTTTGTGTCAGAATGTGAAATTTTGTTCTTAGGAAAAAAAAATTGTCTTTAATCATTTAATTGCTATGTTTAAAAAAATAAATCAGTTATGTCTGTTTTTGGTCCTTGCACCGGAAAACTGACAAAATACAACTCGATGTCAATAAATGTGTACGGAAACGCAGAAGCACATGTAAATAGTTTTGTTGGACTTTACTTTGAAGAACTTGTCACCTGAGTTTCTACCTGCCAAAGAAAAGATTTTGAAAAATACACACGAAAGCGATCTCGAAATGTCAAACTGCGGAAATTGGTCAGCTGTTCATTTAATATTATTTTAAAAAGTTGTATTCCAAAAATTACTATTGCTTAAAAATCATGATAATACAATATCTATATAGAAGGAGCAGATGCACCAGACATGGAAATATCTTAAGCTGTTCAGCACTAAAAGGCTCAAAGGAACAGAGGAATATTCTCTTGAAATTACTAAGTTTGGACTCTTGAATTTAATCAAGTTAATTTAAACTCTTTATAAATGAACTTTTATATCAACAAGATCAATGTGTTTTATATATGTGTAAATTGATTATATTTCATCTTAAGATAATTTATAAATAGTGTACATAATTAAAGATCTAGCCTGTCATAAAGCTTTTAAATTCCTATTGTAAAATTTCTGTAGGATTGTTTCGTGTTACAATAGTTCGCTCCAAAAAAAAAAAAGGGTTACATTTAGCTACAAAATTTTTGCGCCTTCAAAAATTTCTGGGGAGAACACTGTAAAGAATAATCTTGATGATGATAGCAATGAGCCATTGATGATTGTAAAACCAAGACGAGTCTCGACGACTACATGATTTATTATATGATATAGACAAAAAATCATGTGTTCACGATTTGTGAACATGCCTTAACCAATACTTGATTTATGTGCCAAAAAGACATTAAAATTATAGTAAACAATAGATTAATTGCTTGTTAAAAAATGATGAACAATGTTTAGGGTAGACACTAACAATAAGGGTAGATACATTGTAGGGTTTGCAGAAACACAAATATTAACATGATTAATATTTTTAGGCCTGAAGTAAAAAGACTCAACAAAAAATTTGTTCTTTACAATTGAAAATACAAGGAAAGTACCTTTATACGTGGGGTACCAATTTTCTTGGTTTTTCGTGGAAGGCTTTTTTTAAATATTTAACTACTGTTGTCTAATTCAAGACATGAAAAGATCCCTATGTAGGTTTGACTACATGGATACGGGCATATAATCTACAGAATACATCAGCGAATAACAGCAAACGCACTATGAACTATATATATTCAACTTCAGACAGGATTTTGCCCATTTAATCCTTTAAAAAATTAAACTGAACGACTTTGAACCTTTTTATTCTCATGGAAAATATCTTTGATTGATGAAAGTCAGACTTTCTGTGATGATATGCGATGATGAAGATCATTTTATCTCCTCATAATTCTCATATGAAATAAAATGATAATTTCATATTGGGCTTGCTGTTTTATTTCATAAGAATTAATTCTACCATTCAAAGTACAATCATAGCATTTTTTTATGAAATCATTTTCTTTAAGTGACGTGTTTATGGCCCAATTAGCACCTTTGATGATCTTTAATTTGTTGCACATTCGATCTTGGGTTAATTAGCATGATTAGTGTCATCACTTCTGATTACACGTGTGCAACAATTAAAATGGTTACTTTGCAATTTCCTTCAATCTAGACAATTTGTACAAGCAACGTAGATGAATCCTCTTATTTCTAAAAGCAATTATTTTATTAGAAATTTGATGAATTTTGTCAGTAATAAAAGACGAACAAGTAAGTGAAAATGAACACCTCCCACAACTAATTATAAAACAATAATGATTATTTTCCAAATTCTTCGTTTCTGATGGCTTCAAATTTTTCACTAGATTTTTTTCTCTCAGAAAACTAAAATCCATGAATTTTAGAAACCACGAACATGTAACTTTTTGCTCAAACCACGAAAATTGATAACCATGAATAAAAGTTCTTTCACAGTACATGAAATATGACTCATTTTACTAAAATGCCTATCTTGTTATACAGTTAGTCCAATTTCATTTATTTTACAGGGTTGAAAAATACAGACCAGTCAAATTACACAGCATTGTTGGTAATGATGAAACCATTAGCAGACTAGAAGTATTTGCTAGAGAGGGAAATGTCCCAAACATAATAATAGCGGTAATTAGCTTTAAGATTTCTAAGTGATGAATTAAAATATATTGGATACTGAATATGTAAAAGAAACATTTGCAATGGGTAGTATCAGTGACCGACTGTGCAAGGGCTTAATGGCTAGTCAAGGTTGTAAAACATCCTCACTAGCTAGTATCAGTGAATCAGTCACATAAAAACACATACCTACCATAGATGAACATCTGTTTTCAATGTTTTTCAGTCAGGGGACTTACTTAAATGAGTGATTTTCTAAATCATTGATTCAAGTAACATTATGTCCATAAAGGTTGGAAGTAAGAGTTGTCTTTCTTTAATAATCACCTATTTAAGTAGAACAAATTAATCACTAGACTAAGTGATTTAATTTTATTGTAGCTTTAAATATAGAATACTAATGATCCAGGGACTAATTATGTTGCTAAAATTATCAGAACCAACATCTGTGTTGATAGGATGACCGGGTCATGTCAGGTGATGACCTTGTACTAAATCTAGGATAATGACATAAAAATCACTTGTTTAAGTATCATTATCTATCATACCTCAATTTCCTTCCAAAAAATCACTTCTTTAAGTATCATTATTTTAATAACCCCCACTAATTTCAACACCCCCGTAAAATTTTGATCACGAACAGTAGAATTTTATTACATAATCTATAAGATGAAACCTTGAATTATACAGGAAAAATACTCCCACTGCTGGGAAAAATCTGTTAAGAAAGTATCAGTTCATTATGTAAAGCCATTTTTATAGCATTTTTTCAACTAAAATAGAATTTGCAGCTAAATGATTGCATCAAAGGCATAAACCTTGCTGCTTAAAAGAAGCAAAAAGTTTGTTTTTTTTTCAATTTTACTACTTAATTTAAAACTTCGAATTTGCTACTTAAATAAGTGATTTAAAAATCACTTATTTCAATAAGTCCCCTGACTGTTTTTACACAACCATTAAGATACCCTCTGTGACCGTGGACCTGAAACAGAGGGACCATGACAAACAGTAAGCTGTAAAATGGCACATGATATGATAATTTCAGAAACCAAGATAATTCAAGATCATAAAAAAAATCACATACATATATAATAGCTTAGTATTTACAAATATTTCACATGGTAACAATACAGAGAGAATACATTAATAGTAATACTGTTATCTAGCTTTATCATCAAAATGAACACTGAAAACAGCGATAAGGGAGCTACCATTTGATTTTTATGGGGGGGGCTAGGATGAAAAATTTTGTCCTGCTTTTTTTTTTAGTTGTAATCTCTGTCCTGCCTTTTTATTTTTTACTCTATTCGGTCCTGCCTTTTTTTTTTACTAGTTTATCCTGAATTTTTTTACACAAATTGTCATCCTGAATTATTTTTTTTTTACCAAGTTGCTCATCCTGCCTTTTTTTTTTACTCAAAACTCCTGTCCTGCCTATTTTTTTTCAAATTTCATCCTAGCCCCCCCCCCATAAAAATCAAATGGTAGCTCCCTAAATATGTCAATAAAAAATCTCCAGTTATGAGACCCAAACTCCAGCTGAAAATTTTCAAATCTCCAGTTGTGACTTGACAACTCTGTCACATGTATGGTTTCAATGTAACATCAAACATGTTATCTTCAGTAACACATTGTAAAAATGTGTTTCATTTAGTGTGCTTGAGACCCTGAGTGTGGTGTGTTCTATACACTCTGGGTACAAACGTGCATTTCTTAAATTAATAAATATTTGTTTTAAATAATTTTGATTACATTAATGGTTTAGTTATGGTGTGCTTTTTAAACTGCTGTTCTCTGTATGTATTTTTATGCTAACATCAATTACATGTACTGGTTTTCCTTTTTGTAAGCCATAGGAAACTTTTTTGTAATTACTTACATTTACATGTTGGCAATGGTTGGTTGGTTGGTTTTACACTTGTTTAAAACCAAGTTTTTAACTAATTTGATATGTAGTGTTTCAGAAAAATCTTGAGATCTTTTTCAATTAATTCAGTAACAATTCTTAATATTGTCAGTATATTTATAATTTCCAACGGTTCGATAGTATAGTGGGAAATTACTGTAATAACGGTACTAGTGAATACTATTGATACGGGTACTCCGTATGTACACGTATATATACCGGTATACATATCACGTGATATTGATATTTAGCAGGAATATTTTCCCTTGTTGGTCACTTCTAGCCAAGTATCAGACTGGACAACAGTGAAATAAAGTTCATTTTCAATTGTATTGTTATTCTAATTTGTATTTAGTAGGAATTAGATAATTTACTAAAGAGTAACTTAAGTTATTACTTATTACATATAGATAGTATATTTACTTTATATACAGTCCAAGTATAACTCTCGAGACGGTCTTCCGAGCATTTGGGTTTGGACACAGGTTTCCCACATTTTCCACTTTATTTGAAATGTAGTCTTTTGACTGCAGTTTAAATGGAGTTTGACCGAGGTAACTCGTTTTGTTGGTTTTTCCTGGCCGGCGGGATCGTTGATGACAGAGCAAAATATTTTTGAACACAATTTACTAATTATTCTATTGAATTCTTTTTGAAAGTTAATTTATTGTGCATTGCTACTTATGATTTATGTTTATTGTGTTTATCAATTATATTTATATTAATAAAATATGGGGTCCACCAGTATTGCTGGGCTATCGGCTATATATAGTATTTAGTATTTATTGAGATGCCTAGAAATAGTTATTAGTAAAGTTGATACTTTTATTTACAGGGTCCTCCTGGAACTGGAAAAACAACAAGTATTCTTTGTTTAGCCAGAGCTCTTTTGGGAACCTCATTCAGAGATGCAGTACTTGAACTAAATGCATCTAATGAAAGGTAATGTTTATGAAGAAACGGAAGAGTAAATTATGCCTTTAGTGTCCAAGGGATACAAAAAGGTAACCTTTCTAACTGTAAAAATTGTGAAATATTGAAAAAACAATTCATTTCCCATTCTTTCCATCTTTCACTTCAATTGATTGAAGAAATGATATAATCTTACTTGTATGCATTCTGTGAGAAAGCTTAAGGTCTTGAGTGTTGAATTCGAAGTTATCAACCATCATTAACCAGAGTTTTTATTTAAATAAATATGGAGTCAACATCTGAGTACTATAAAAGGCTAGTGCACAATCGAGTAGGTGTCATTTAATGCTAAAAGTTGACAAGAAAACTAACCTGAGAAGGTAGAAGGGTTGCGGTAAAGCATTGAGTTATATCAATGATCTGGAAGACTGATCAGAAATTGTATGAACTTCGTTTAGTGCAAATCAATCATGTTGTATATCAACTTTTTTTTAACAAGCATACATAAGATGATTTCAATTCTAATTTACGGAGAAAAGTCTTATGACTTTATCTAACTTCCTTTTGACTACTGTATTTATTTCGTGGGTACCAATTTACATGGATTGGGAGGAAATTTTATTTTCAGGATATTTGATTTCGTGGTTTTGCCAAAATCTGCATAAAAGCTTATAAAAATTTCGTTGAACATTTTAAGTTTGTGGTTAACCTTTTCCTACAAAATCCGTGAAAGTTGTATCCCAAGAATAATAATGAATTCACAGTAATACAGTCTGCACTGTTAGCCACTAATCCGATGCCCCAGACTAGCAAAATTTTAATCGTACTGGCAAGTTCTTGCAAAACTTTGTTTAAAAAGAAAAATGTTGGAATATTGGTCTTCGGAAAAAGGTTGGAATATTGGTCTTCGGACTAGTAGTCGGAAAAGATTTTGGTGCAGATTTGTAGTATATGAATCATATTGTTGGGTCACAATTAAATCGTCTATATTTTTTTTTTTTTTTCCATTAAATTTTTATACTTATTTCTTATATTACAGAGGAATTGATGTGGTGAGAAACAAAATAAAAATGTTTGCCCAACAGAAAGTAACATTGCCTAAAGGTCGACACAAAATAGTTATTCTGGATGAGGCAGACAGGTAAGACATATTGTACGGAAACTGGAAATTGACCCAACAGAAAAAAGTTTGTAATAAAAGTTTAATACAATCTTATCTTGTTTTTATGTGGTATGAAACAGTTCTTTTACAACATTCAAATGATTGTGTGCTCAATATACCTTCCTGTTTGTCTGTCCACTGTTATAGGACATAAAACAATACCATATAAAATATTGATGGGTTGTATAGCATACAGTGTTCTCCCCAGGCCCTTACAGGACCGCGGGCCCGCGATGTATAATTTTTTACCGTGGTGGTATCGTTCTTACCGTGATGTATAATTTTTTTCCGTGGTGCTAAAATTTTCAGTTAAAAAATCGTAAATCGGTAAAGTTTTAAACGACTTGTTAAATATTTTCCGTGCGGTATAAAATTCCAGGTGAAATTTGACCAGTTCAACACAGATTGTTTACATCACGTGATCGATTTACCTTATGAGGTTAACCTTGTTGATTGGATTTAATCGATGTAATTAACACTTGTAACATGATTCTTTTATGTTTTAATTAAGAGTTCATAACTTTATGATCACAGATAACTATTTTATGGCTTCACTCACCACCCAAGCACTGACCTGTGACAAGTCGGCAAATACTTTGTACACAAACAGTGTCTTGACCCGATAGGTACATTTTTTGTACATCATAAAGGTGGCTCATTACATATAATTGACAATTATACATTTCTCAATTCTTATATTATAGTATTATATGTCTCTGATTAAACCATGGCCAATATTATCTTTAATTATGACATAGTTATTGCATGATAGTCGGGTTTCAAACTGTAGTATCTGTCTGTACATATCACATGACCCAGTTAGTTCACGTAGAATATTCAAGTTTATTTACAATTAATTGCAATCTATTTTATTTTATAAATAAAATGCATGACTGTACCTTCAAACTGGATATCTATATCCATAATTAATGAATAACAGAAGTAATCTTGCAAATTTTCTCCATAAGCACATGTTAAATCTATTTATATCTACTTCCTGTCATTTAGGCGGGAAAATAGGGAGACTTAGTTGTTGACATTGAATATGGTTATTTATAGATCTATAGACCAAAGATAAATTTATAGATTTAGGAAAAAAAAATTTAAATGGTTCATGACAAATAAAGATTTAGATTTCAGTGCAGTATTAAATCTGTATCTATGTTTGATTATCACCAAAGACAAGAAAGGTTAATATTTACATGAAATCTATGGCAAAATGTTCTAAAATTTATGAAAAATTTCTTTTTATTAAAATCTAAGATAGAAACTGGTTCAAATAATGAAACAATATTTGCAATTGTTCTTGTTAATTTTATATCTTCTTATGACAGGAATCCTTTCACATACAACAACTTTCTTTCTAGAAACTAGAAAGTTTTTTAAATTGAACATTTTTGTTCTCTTTTGAATGATATTTTATTTTTATTGATTTTGGATTTTATGAAAGATTTAAATACTTTAAATTCAGATGAATATTTTATTATGAATTATAATTTATTTATTTAAAAAAATATTAGGATACAAACTGTTTTTTGATTTACTTCTTTTTTACCAATAATTTTCTGACTCAATGTCTACATAACACAGTACCACAGTATTAAAACAAAACAAGAGACATAAAAACTACAGTAACTAGAAATAGAGCTAAGCGACGCGACCTGACGCGACACAACTGATTGTATAAAATATTTCACCAAGCTGTCCACACGCGTTACCCTGGTGCTATCCAAAAATCCTGGGGAGAACACTGGCATAAATTAAAAATAATTGTTGTATTTCCTCATGAAAAAAGTCTAAGAGTTGAATCTAAAGTCATGTATAATCACAAATATGGGCTATTACCTACATGAATTGCTTGGTTATGCCCCACATGTGCTATGTAGTTTTACAATGTTGATAAATATTAGAATAACTATCTTCATTTGGCTCATCTCAGCTGATACATTTTGAACCCAATTTTTTTTTTCGAACAGTTGTTATAATATGATTAACAAGCTGGAATAGATTCAAGGAATTCAGTATTCAAATGTATTAGAATTTAAAAAAAAATTGTCATGGGGGCCTTCAGTAATATCCCTGTATTGAAGATAAGTGTCACATTATTTTCTTGTGTTACGGCCACAAATCGAAGCCAACAAAAGACTCAAATCAATAATAGAATTTAACAAAACTTATCATACACAAGTTTAAAAGAAAAACATGTATTACACAAATTGAAATGTCAACTTAACTGTTAAAATATATGTCCGATCCTTTGTTTTTTCTTTGTCCAGAATTCTCTTAAATATCATATCACGGAAATTTCTAGAACAGTGCAGAAGGTAAACTTCTAGAACACTGTAGAAGTTTAAATTACGCATTGTTGATTATGATAATTCTGGAATCGTTATGTAAGTCAAATAGAAAATTCTAATCATTCCATCAGTATCTATGATTGTTCCAGTGATTTCTAAACTACACAGTTATTACATTATTTTGTAAACAACTATAAATATCTTATAAGACCACACCAAACAAATTAGGCCAAGATAAACAAACCTGATAATTACAATATCATAACACTTGTTTGTTTCAATAAGACCTGCAAAAAGCATATATAATTATATATGTTATTTTATGTTTGCAGTATGACAGATGGTGCCCAGCAAGCTTTAAGAAGAACGATGGAAATTTACTCAAAAACAACCAGATTTGCCTTAGCTTGCAATGCTTCAGATAAAATAATAGGTAATATTTTATATCAATGACACTTTACAAATATGTGAAAACTTGATTAATTTGAAGTTAATTCCGAAATGTTTAATTCTTAACAGAGATAAGAATGTCCAAGTAAATAGTTTTTGGAAGTAGAGTTATCTCCCTTAGTCATTAAGGTTTTCTTTGACTTTAATCATTTCGAAAGTGATTTTTTTTCTGTTCTTGAATTTCTCATGACAACATTGCTCTAATAGAGTGTTTTGAATGTCCATCTTTAAAATATGTCCTTACTATTCATCAAATCCAATTTCATGGACTATGGAAATCTCATTTGTCTGTTATTTTTAAAAATCATGCCTATTTCATTGTCTCCCGAGCAATTTTTTTATTGCCTTTTACAGTTACTTAACATCTGTGCACACTACATTTCTTTGTTTAGTTCTTGAGTTTAACGGTTGAACTCTTAATTTAAAAAGTAGTTGGCAAACCAGAAAAATGTTTGCAGCATGTTTTGATAACTCATATTTTTTTTGTAGAAGCATAAGGGGAGATAATTTAAACATTTTAAGATTAATTTCAAATTAGACAAATTTACTTATACAAGAAAATATTACTTGCATCTTCAAGTATTTAACAGTTACTTGTATAAGGATTATCACTTACTGTTTGTTACTACAAAAAAATGTAAATTTGTGATTAGGGGGAAACAAAGTCCACGAAAATAGATACCCCTCAAACAATAACAGTTTTTCAGTAATTACAGAAAATAACAGGAGAATGCAAGAGAGATTTCTGGGTCAATATCCCTAATGCACCTCAAATTGAGGAACACACAAGTTGTGCGTAAACAAAAAATCTCTGTGTAGTGACATTGGTCATGTTTCTATTTTAAACAAGTGACTGAGCTTAACCATTTGTGTTGATTTGGAAAGTAGAGGACCATAGAATAAATGTGTAAAAACTATGGAGTTATTAAATGTATGCAAAGTATTAAATTTTGAAAGAACTTATTGTGTGAAAAAAGGGATTTTTTACCACGAGGAGCCGCATCACGATTTTCGGGTGTGCTAATTTACGGGAAAATGAATCTCACTGCGTACCCCGAAAATTTACCCACATATGGGCAATAATTTTGTATTGGGACCGTTTCCGATAACGATAGAAAAGTGATAAAATATTGTATTTTGTTGAGAGAAGTTGTTGCTCTACCATCAAATGCTATTATTTCTATTGAAATATAGGTGCTTTCTAATCTCCCCTAGAGAGAACTTGAAATAAACAAATATTTAAGATTATTTGGCCACTTTTGTATGTCGTTTCTTAGCGTTATTTTCGCTTCCGAAGTGCGTAACGCTGCCTGATTTAAAGATAATCGTCGCCTGCAAAATCGTAACTTTTGCTTTCAAATAATAAAGAACATCGATCAAAAAGAATAGTCAGAAGAAATTGCCGAGAACTATAACTATTTTTGTAGCAGGTGTAAGAAAAGTAGCGTTACTTTGGTTTCCGATTTCGTAACGCAAAATTTAGATGGTGTAGTCTGCTTTCTTGTACTTGAATTCTTCATAACAATATGCAAATATGAACTCTCGCGAGATGTTCAAACAGGTAAATCAGTGATTATTTACATTCTAGTTATGTCCTTCGTAATAATTAAGTTAGAAAATGACGTTATCCTTATGCGTTACATTTCACACGAAACAGAAGTCCAGTTATTTACTTTTTTTTTATTTTTTACTAAAATTGTTTTTGTCGTTCAGTCCAAATCATATCCGGTCATACGTGAAACATGTGGCTAACATGTGATTAAGCGCTTACGGCCGGGTATAGGAAATATTAGGTCTAAACATCGTTTTTGTTTCCAACGGGATAGTAGCAAGCATATTCTGTAGACTGTTTTCATATTGTTTAAAAAAGGAAGATACAATTTTGAAAGAGATCGCGACGGGGGTCTATTATTTTTCCTACGTGCATAATGTTGCACACTATCTTGAATGAAAATAAATGCCCAATGACTTGACAAAATCGATTTCTTATTCGAGGGACGTTATAACACACTTTGTTTCCGGATAAGGATGAAAAGGGTCCTTGGAAAATTAAATCAACATTACGTCTCTTATCATTCTGCCGATGATCGATGAATTGACTTTGCTTTAGCATTAAATTGTACTTGATATTTTAGGTAAATACAGATAATTTAAAAAAAAATACATGTTGATATACTGTTACACGTATGGAATGTACAGAGTTGGTATCTTTGTCACAATTTTTATTTTTTTATTTTAATCATATTCAGCAAACACTTTTCAAAAATGCAATACTATTGTCAAAGGAGAATTGAAGTTTTACCATGCATGACTTGAAAGGAAGTACTTTATCGATTTTAGCCCACTAAAGAAGGTTAACATGTGGAAACCATGTACATGGTGTACATGTCACAAATATCACATGATGCCCATTATAAGATTTTAATTCCAAGTTAAAAGTTTTTTACTTTACTGGATTAATAGGAATTTGACATTGGAATTAATTGTATAAAATTGGAATTTCAAAACCAATAAATACATTTTTTTGGCTAAAACATCAAGATACAACGATTATGGTATCCTGTATCAATTAAGAAAACATGGAAATTCTCTGAATAAATTGCACTAATTTTTTTAAAACAAACACATATTTAGGAGTTTAATAGTAATAGTATTACATTTAAGACAGAGTTTAACCAGAGATGCAAATCTAAATGCATTTGTATGCCAGAAGTAAATCAATACATGGAAACCGCCAATGTTGTATCCAGTTTAGTTGTATGCGTCACAATTTCATAGCATTTCAAAAGTGTTATTTCCCTTCAGGTAAGTAGTGCCGGTTCACTGCCTGCATGGCCAATACATCAAAACACTTTTCTTTTCAAGTTAAAAGTAACATTTTGCTTTGAAAATATGTTCCTATATCAAATTTGCCAAAAAACTTTGCATGAAATAACATGTCACGGGTGCCACATGTGGAGCAGGATCTGCTTACCCTTCCGATGCACCTGAGATCACCCCCAGTTTTTGGTGGGGTTCGTGTTGTTTAGAATTTTTATTTATATATTTGTGGTCACAAATTTTGGAAAGAAATTTAGTGAAATAAACCAGGCTATTCTTTTTGGTATATGAGGTTTTTGGTTATATTTCTGTAATCCATGGTACTTAATTGTAATTTTCCAGCAGTTGTAATGAAAGGGTGTAAACAATTATAGGATTTCATTGAATTTCTATACACCCGCAAAATAATGGTTTTGTATATGGAATCTTGTCTTTATAAAAAAGAAGATGTGGTATGATTGCCAATAAGACAACTCTCCACAAGAGACCAGATGACACGGAAATTTACAGCTGAGCTAAAGATCGCTGTATGGCCTTCAACAATGAGCAAAGCCCATACCACATAGTCAGCTATAAAAGTTCCCGAAATCACAAATGTAAAACAATTCAAACTTTTATTGGATATAAGAAGATGTGGTGTGAGTGCCAATGAGACAACTCTCCATCCAAGTCAAAATTTATAAAAGTAAACCAATATAGGTCAAAGTACATTTTTCAACACGGAGCCTTGGCTCACACCGAACAGCAAGCTATAAAGGGCCCCAAAAATTACTAGTGTAAAACCATTCAAACGGGAAAACCAACAGCCTATTAAATCTATATAAAACATGCAATTTTACAAAAAGCAAGGGACAGGGTGGACGTTATAAGATACTACTTATACTGTGGACATCACTCACATATTGGATGTTCCCAACATTAATATGTTTGTTGGATCACGCTTTTTGTTTTGTGTTCAATAAAATTTAGAAATTTAAAATGTCATGCATCTTTCCAATTGAATCAAAAGTGAGAGCTGAGAAAGTGCCTCCCAACACCCCAATACATTCACTTCTGGAACAGTCCTTTATAGAAAAGTACATTATATAAAATAAGTAGCAGTAGCTAGATCTCCCAGTTATTACAGTGCTTGAATTTTCTGGTTAGTGACGCATAATCACAAAGTGTAAATCATGCAATTGTGTTACAGAGCTAGCTAGCACACTGCATTGGGTTTCTAATGGTTAGTAGGCACATGTGCTACATATAAAAGTGTACAAGAATTATAACAAAAAGCAAGAGAAAATACATTGGTAGTCAAAATCAGTAGATGCAAGTCGGCGCCCAAAATAATTTATTATAGTGACATCCTAAAGACTTAGTGCCCTTGTTTCTATATTCTTATAATTTTTATTGTCTATTGGAAAAAAATTATCAAAAACAGTCCTAAATTTAAAAACTAAAGCTATAAGTAACATTATCAAGAAAAAGTTTACTGTTCAGATTATTTTAAGCTGATTTTCCAATAAAATAACACTAAAAAAATGCTTTCGGTTTCTTATGGTTTCCTGTCGCGTTTAAAAAAAACCTTAATTTAACATTGAAAATAGATTTTAAATATTAACATGAAGCAAGTAACTCTAGTAATGGTGTTCATTTATGTCTTTTGAAATAAATTGTGCGAAATAAAGAAAATAAAGTTTTGTTTCCTGTTTGGTTTCCTGTCACGAAAACGGTGAATCAAAATTGATTAATTTTTCCTCGAAAAACCTACTTGTTCCATTAATACTAGTCTCACACCAACACAACCCACAGAATAAAAGTTAAAGTTTTAGAACTTAAAAAAAAAGATACAAAAAGAAACCAAAGGCCGAATACCAAATTATTGCCCATATGTGAAAATATCTCAGCTTTGAAACGAGCCATCATACATATCCAAGTTTACAATATGGACTGAGCTACAGAAGAAAATGTTACCATTACCACCTATGGGAAATCAATTATTACTTTTAACATTTACAGAACCTATTCAGTCCAGATGTGCAGTTCTCAGATATTCCAAACTGACAGACCAACAGGTACTAAAGAGATTATTAGAAGTGTGTGAAGAAGAAAAGGTCAGCTATACTGATGATGGATTGGAAGCTATTGTGTTTACAGCACAGGGTGATATGAGACAGGTAAAGTTTTCTTTATAGATAGAATGTGTTGTATCTACAGCTGCTTCATACCTGCCAACTTTTCTAAATCTTCATGGGGGATTTTAAGCACAAGAAGACCTAATGCACACCTATCTTTGACCTATAATGGTTTACTTTTACAAAATTGTGACTTGGATGGAGAGTTGTCTCATTGGCACTCATACCACATCTTCTTATATCTATACATGTCATTAGTGTACTTAAGTAGATCATCTATAGTTTTGAATGAGTATACATGTGTTATAATGTATAGTTTACTCCTCTGAATGTTTAGTCTAAATAATTGAACTTTATAAGGGTCAGGTCAACACCTTTCATGGGGATTTCCTCCATAAAGAGGGAAAGTTGGCAGTTTGACTGCTTGATGAAGTATAAAACAGACTAATTTTTTGTCGAGCCTGCAACTTTTGTCGCAAAAACGAGACAGCGATCCTACATTCCATCATCGTTGGCAGCATCCACAAATATTCAAGTTTTTGAAATTTTAATAACTTTCTTATACTATCCTGGATTTCTACCAAACTTGGACAGAAGCTTGTTTATGATCATAAGATAGTATCCAGATGTAAATTTTGTAAAAAAAAAATCCTGTTTATCTGTATTTTACTTATAAATGGACTTAGTTTTTCTGCCAGTTAACATAACATTCACTCTGTGGTTAAATTTTTTAAAATTTTAATAACTTTCTTAAAATATCCTGGATTTCTACCAAACTTGGACAGAAGCTTGTTTGTGATCATAAGATAGTATCCAGAAGTAATTTTTGTAAAAAAAAAATCCTGTTTTTCCGTATTTCACTTATAAATGGACTTATTTTTTCTGCCAGTTAACATTACATTCACTCTGTGGTTAAAGTTTTTAAAACATTTATTAGATTCATAAACCATCATGGATTTTTACCAAACTTGGACAGAAGCTTCTTACAATCAAAAGATAGTATCTAGAGAAAAATTTTTAATAATTTTTCCCCCATTTTTGTTGAGCCTGCGAATAACAGCAAAAGTAGGTGAGACACTGGGTTCCGTGGAACCCTTACAAATTTTTTCTTTCTTTATGTTTCAGTGAGTATTTGTCTGATTCTTGAGAATCACATCACTTACCCTGTATGTATATTCCAGTATAAGTCGATCCACTTATAAATTGGTTACCTTTTTTAGCTCCAAAATCTAGGGAGGCAGGTTTGACCCTCATAAGTCAGTTTATTTTTGGCATTGTCCGTGTGTATGTTCAGTACAGCAGACAGTAGCTGATCAACAGTTATATCACATTAAAAGCCTAGAAATTATAACAAGTTTTTGGAATTCATTTTCATATTTATAAAGATATTTAAACATTACAATGTTAATAATTATTGTGGAAAATATATGGCTCCCCTTTGAGTGACTTTGGTTTAATATACATCGAGAAAAGCCCATTAGTAGGAGCAAAATCTGTTTCAATGAATTGAATAGACAATGATATTGTAAAAATTAACAACTGTCAGAGTATATTGATGTTAGAAGATAAAATTACCATGTTTATATCTTTACAGGCATTAAACAATTTGCAATCAACATTTCAAGGGTTTGGTCATGTAAATAGTGAAAATGTTTTCAAGGTAAGTGATATATGATATATCTTTTCAATTTCTTCAACATGTTCAAGATTATGATGCAGTTATTTGCTTTTGATAATAGGTTATTGTAAACCAAATTTATTTTTTTCGCAAAGGAATTATATTTTAATGACTTACAAGAAGAAAAATAACATAAGTATAAATTGTTTCGAATAGTCATCCTAAGAAATAATTCAACAAGAAAATGAGAAAAAATTGTAAAAAAAAAATCAATGCATAGTGAACTAGATAGGGCTTAACATGAAATAAAGTATCTATGAAAAAATGTTGGTTTACAGTATTTCAAAATGTCAGGCTCTAGCAGTTTCAGTTATTCAGTTCATTCTGGTTTATTGCTGTCAAATTGAAGTCCGAACTGAAAATTCTAGATTTTTTTTACCTATTAATTAAATCCTTTAATTTAACAGCAATAAACCGAACTACCAAATGACATGGCATTTTGTATTAAAGATCAATACATAATTGATTTAGTTGTAGAGTTTTTATGAAAATCCAAGTGCTGTTACTGAAACCTGAAGAATGTGTGACTTTAATGTTAACTAGATACTAGTTGGTTTTCCGTTTGAATGATTTTACACTAGTAATTTTTGGGGCCCTTTATAGATTACTGATCGGTGTGAGCCAAGGCTCCGTGTTGAAGACCGTACTTTGACCTATAAACGTTTACTTTTTTAAATTTTGACTTGGATGGAGAGTTGTCTCATTGGCACTCATACCACATCTTCTTATATCTACCTTATCTTTTTGCAGGTTTGTGATGAACCCCATCCTGTTCTTATCAAAGACATGTTACAACATTGTGTCAATGGTAATATAGATGAAGCGTACAAAACAATGGCACATTTATGGAGACTTGGCTATTCTCCTGAAGATATCATCACCATTGTATTCAGAGTCTGCAAGAATCACAGTATGCCAGAATTTCTCAAATTAGAATTTATAAAGGTAAGAATTGTAGTATGCCAGAGTTTCTCAAGTTAAAATTTATACAATGTCCAACAGTCAAGGGTATATCTTAAATAAGCTATTACAGAAAATAATAGGCATACTGTTATTGTGGGAATTCTGACAAAGTTATCTCCTTTGAAGGATTAATTTATAACCATTTAATCTTAAGGTATTATTGATGAATTGTTAAATTAATCCCAAATAGGTGAAAATATTAAATCAATTCTACTAAAAAAAAAATTATTCAAGATGAAGTTATCAAAATTCAAGAAGCTGGTAATCACTGTACATACGTTTTTTCACCGAAAATGGTGCAAATAATAATGTTAACATGTTGAAATCACACGAGATCTCAACAACAAAACAAACAGCGGTAAATTTGGAAGTATCTGACCTGATTTGTGTTTCACCTGATGAAAATAACTGATTACTGAAAGGCGTTATTACACATTTACGACATTGTTTCTTTGTACATTGATGGACGTGTTATTTCAACACAATTCATGACAGGGGGAGGTAACTCTGTCAGAATTCCCACAATAATATATAGTATGTCTGTTTTTTTCTGTAATAACTTGTTTAAGTTATACCCTTGACTGTCCAAATTATGTCAAAAATAGTGTACTTTTGTTGTAGTATACTGTAAATTCAGAAATTATTGCGAGCATTTATTATTGTGATTTTTGAAGAATCAACAAAAATGTGAGTTTAATTATTGCGATTTTAAGAAAAGCTACATACAGATACATGTAATTGATATCAGAATGCAAATTCGTATTATTGAGATACTCAACTAGTCACATTATTCGCATTAATAAAAACCTCACAATAATTTCTGAATTTACAGTATATGTTTTCACAAATGCTTTGTAGTATATTTTCATTAAAATAGTTACATACATATGAGAATATGCATGCAGCTTAGGATGTACTCAGGTCAGGTTTATGAATTTTTGTCAAATGTTCGGACTCCTTGGGTTTTTTTTCTACAATACAGGGTAAAATATATCACCCACTTTTCTTTTCATAGAAGACTTCAACAGCCCATAAAAAGGACATTACCAAAATTTAAGAAGATTCTAGATTTTTTTCTTACGATTTGAGACCCAAATAATGCCAATGCTAAATATAAGGTAAAAGTCTGAGTCAGCCTTTTCCCACCATTTTTTAAAATTCAAATATCTCAAAAAGAAGTTCCATAACCTATCAATATTTTTAGGTGATTTTATTCCTTACCTAATGCTCTTTTGACTTATAGTATCAATTTTAAATTCTAGATTTTTTTTATTTCACCTAACTAAATCTTTAATACATGCATAAACAAACCATTGAAAGATATCCCAAGATTAAACAACTGTACAGGCATGTTTACCTAGTTCACCATACATTATTTCAATTGAACTGTAAAACTGTTAAAATAACACCAGTTATCCATACAAAAATCTCATTAAGGATAAAAGGACAAAAGGTAAAAAACTATGCCCCAGCCAAATATTACAGCTTTGTTGCATAACCAACAACTTAATCTGATATAACTTTGAAAGACTGTATTGATGATTGAATAATCTTTGTTTATTTTATTTCATATTAAAAAAACTTAGGCTTATAAAGGATGCAGTCATGTCAGGTTTAGAAATTTTTGTCAGATGTTCAGACTCCTTGGGTTTATTACTACAATGTACGCTACAGTGTAAAATATTTTGACCCATATCACCCACTTTTCTTTTCATATAATACTTTAATAGCTCATAAAAGGTCATTACCAAAATTTAAGCAGATTTTAGATTTCTTTTCTTACTATTTGAGACCAAAATAATGCCAATGCTAAATATACATGATAGAAGATAAAATTTTCCCACCGTTTTTTTAAATTCAATATCTTGAAGAGGCGCTCCATAACCTATCAGTATTTTAGCTTATTTTGTTCCTTAACTAATACTCTTCTGACTTATAGTATCAATTTTAAATTCTAGATTCTTTTAATTTCACCTGAATACATCTTTTAGTCATATTTGTGTAAGTAATTATATAAAGAACATTGACTATTTTAAGTCTGTTATTTATGTTGTGATATTTTTGGAAATAACTCTATTATATATATCATGTATATGCAATTTCATCAGCAATACCAAATTTGTGGGGAATAAAATCTAGTTATAGTACAATATTTGTCCTTTTTCTGTGCAATACTGTAAAGTGTAACTAGTGTTATCCTCAATTATTTATTTATGATTTAATGTTTAATGCTAGAAAATATCCCTTGAAAAAATAGTTTGTGCAAAAAGACAATTTTGTTGTGAATAGTAGTGCACTTATGTTTTGTTGTTCAAATTGAAACCCTGTTGAAAAGTTACTTCATTGAATCGGCAAAAAAACAAAAAACCCACAAAAATTGAATTTGATCAGGATAAAAAATTTAAAAGACAATCATCAGAAAAGGAAAAGGCAAAATGACTTCATTTTATTTCAGTTTTTAAGCATTTTCATTCGGAGATAATTCTTCTCTTACAAATGTTCATGTTTCTAATTGTTAAAATATAGATATGAACATTTTTATAGCACCATATTTTTTTTCATTCCAGGAAATAGGTTATACACATATGAGGATTGCTGAAGGAGTAAATTCATTATTACAAATGGCTGCCATGCTAGCTAGACTGTGTAAAAAATCAGGAACGCCATCACCTTTAAGTTGAAAGTGTTAGACTAATCATGGTAATTGTCGTCACATCTTGAAACTCAAAAATACCATCAGATCTCATTATCATTGTTATCCTGTTGCTCTGTATAACCTGAACATTGAATAAGACAAGATGCAGAATTGTCAGAACAATCAAAGTACTGTTAGGCTTATCTTTGTGAATTTTTTTCGTGTTATAGAAGGATTCGCATAAAGTGATTTGTGATAAATAAAATATGTAATACACAGCTACTTATTATTCTTATAGATGCACATATATGAAATTTGAACCAAAAGCAGCTTCCTTTTGTGTTGTGATATTGGATTCACTGCCCTGTTATGTATATCCCCCTTCCCCTAAAGATATGAAATAAACATAATTCCATGGCCAAATTAAGCAATGAATGTGAAGAATGCACTTAAGACTTGAACTTTTTGTTAATTAACACAATTGATAAGTGGCATTATTTCATCTTTTTAATCACTTTACAAATTGTTTTCATTTTTGTCTCCTATGACAAAAGTCACAGAAGGCAAGACATCTAGGCGTCAGTGTCTACAATTGTGTAGTTTTCTGCTTAAGTGAGTTTGATTGGTAATACTTGTGATAGGTCAGTGACATTTTCAATCAAGTTGCATTTCTATCAGTACATATTAGTTTGAAGACTATATCTAGGCTCTGCACCATAGGTCATGGTCGAGTGACTTTGAATTAATTAGCAATTATCAATGTTAAGTTTTCTGCTTAAATAAGTTTGAGAGGAACTACTTGTGATAGATCAATGATATTTTCTAGTTGCATTACTACCAGTACATCTCAGTTTTTCAACTGCCCGCTAGTTCATGGCATGGTCCAGTGACTTTGAATTAATTAGCAATGTTGCTGTTCCTCAGATTTTCTTTTTCTGAATTTTTTGCCGACAGACAAGAAAGACACATCTCTGCATCAACAGTTTATTTGTTTGTAGTCCTTCTGCCCAAATTTTGTAACTGCTTCTGAAATGCTTGACACAATTTTATGAAACTTGTAAATAATCTTACTCACTCGATGTTCTTTTGCTGTCTTATTTAATTTTTTCATCAATGATTATTGAGGTTTACTTGAGATGACATATGGACATCATTTCATTATAAAAATTTTACATATAGAAATAAGAAGATGTGGTATGATTGCCAATGAGACAGCCCTCCACCAGAGGGTCTACTTATTTCAAAGGATTACACAGATAATGACCTTATCAGGTAAACCATGTTTCTAATCATTCAGATGCAGTCAACCATGAAAATGAGGTCATAGTTCAGAGTTTTAGTGAAACATCTTCAGACTAAATATAAAGAATTCAACACCTAAAAGATTTGTCATGAAAGCATAATGGATATTTGATTTAGTCACTGAACCTTAAAAATTCGTAAGGGTTCCGCGGAAACCAAGTGTCTCGCCTACTTTTGCTGTTAATCGCAGGCTCAACAAAAATGAGATGAGGAAAAAATTTAATAAAAATATTCCTCTGGATACAACTTTTTTATTGTATGAAGCTTCTGTCCAAGTTTGGTAAAAATCCAGGATAGTTTATGAATCTAATAAATGTTTTAAAAAATTTAACTGCAGACTGTATGTAATGTTAACTGGAAGAAAAACTAAGTCCATTTATAAGTAAAATACGGATAAACAAGTACAAAATTTTAATAAAAATTTCCTTCTAGATACTAGCTTTTGATCATAAACAAACTTCTGACCATGTTTGGTACAAATCCAGGATAGTTTAAGAAAGTTATTAAAATTTTTAAAACTTTTAACCACAGAGTGAATGTAATGTTTTCTGGCAGAAAAACTAAGTCCATTTATAAGTAAAATACGGAAAAACAGGATTTCTTTTTTTTTAAATTTACTTCTGGATACTATCTTATGATCATAAACAAGCTTCTGTCCAAGTTTGGTAGAAATCCAGGATAGTTTGAGAAAGTTATTAAAATTTTAGAAACTTTAACCACAGAGCAAATGTAATGTTTCCTGGCAGAAAAACTAAGTCCATTTATAAGTAAAATACGGAAAAACAGGATTTTTTTTTTACAAAATTTACTTCTGGATACTATCTTATGATCATAAACAAGCTTCTGTCCAATTTTGGTAGATATCCAGGATAGTTTAAGAAAGTGATTAAAATTTCAAAAACTTTAACCACAGAGTTAATATTTGTGGACGCCACCGAAGACGCCGACGGAATGTAGGATCGCTATGTCTCGCTTTTTCGACAAAAGTCGAAGGCTCGACAAAAATGAGGTCAACAACTGACTTATTGTGGGATTTGCTACAAAGAAAATATTGCATTTATAAGCAAAACAAGAATTCACACATAGCTACTTAAGCATACTCCCATTCAAAATCTAGTGAATCAGGTAACAGACAGTAAGTGTCCAACCAACATTAAAATGGACCACCTGTTAAAACTCATCTCTGCCAAGATGATGGCCAAATATAAACTCATTGTGTAACAAGAGAAATATAGATTCCACCACTGCATCAAGTGTGTTACGATATTTCTCCACGAAAGACAGTTAAATATTAATATTAAAGCGCAAGGCTTGCCAAGCTTTTTAAATAGTTAAAATTTTAACCGTTGAGAGAGGAGAAATATAATACACGAGTTATATGAGGTGGAATCTGTTTCTCTTATGATTTTCAGAAAGATGTGTTCTTTATATGTGATGTCATCAGACATGGTCGCCTTTTTACATGACATCACAATAGGAAATTCAGAAGAAACCACGAAAGTTTGACTTCATAATTAAATTTCGACCAATCATTTGCAGAGAAGTAAGTTTTCTCAAGAGATGAGAAATATTTTTCTCACAATGATCGAGAAATGGGAAAAAAGCATGAAAATTAGAGAAGTGTGTCTTGAACAATTTAAAATTCATTCAACATATTGAAATAATTCAAAGTTTCATCTAAGAGAAATGGCAAGTGTGGCAGACCCAAAAAGTACTTGTCACTGTCAAGCTGCTGACCAAATATGAAGTCATTCTGTTTTGCAGTACCCCGGTAACGAGAAAAATGATGAAAATGTTGTCAAAGGGATGGATGAACTAGTAGACTCCACTCTTAGAGTGGGGGTATAGTAATGCTATTGTTGTCTAGTTCAACCATTATAAACAATTCTTTACTGCCAGCCCATCATTGTAAAAACAAGATGTGATGAATGCCAATGAAACAACTATCCACAAAAGTACCAAAGAACAAATACATTTAGGATGTAAACAGTTACCATTCACTATTGTCCTATCAATTAATAGTAAGACCCATACTTGATAGTAAGCTATAAAAGGCTCTAAAGAAATTTTTGTCCTTTTTAAAACTTAGAACATTAAACAAACAAAAAAACTATGAAAAGACAACCCATGGACTTCTGGCTGTAAAATCTGAAGAGGCTTATTTGGGACATGCAAGCTTAAAAGGTTAAAAAGGTTTTGTGAGCACTCAATCCTCCCCTTATCCTTGGACTATGATGTTACAGCACAACAGAACAAACAGTTAACATTTTGTTTGAAAATAACTTGCCTCATCAGATCTATACTTAGAAAATAACTAACAAAAAGACAGAAGTACTGAACAAACAGTACAAGCAGTTATAAGCACAATTTCAACTTATAAATACACCATGCATGTTTGTAGGTCAAATCTATGTTTTTACTTCAGAAATATTTATTGCAGGGAACACCAGAAAACCATAATTTGTTCAACAAAAACTGCTTGCAATGCTGTTGCACCAAAGTTCACCCCCTGTATTTTAATGTGTTGTAATGCTCTCTTTAGTGTTCTGTGATATGTATTGTAGACAACGGTTGATCAATTTGCTATTTGTTATGGTGTTTTCATTCATCTTAAAATTACTTATATTTTTTAATAATCACTAAAGTATAAATCTAGAGGGCTGATGTATAAAGGAACAATTCAACTGATTTTGTTTTTATTATTGTTCTAAAAGCCATTGAAAAGATCAGTAAAACCATAAGTGTCAACTTTTCAAGTCCTCAAAAATGGAGATTCATCTCAAGAACGGCAGAAGGAGATTTTTTCTGCAAAACCTATTTCTTTTTTTTCTAATATTTTATCTTATAATTTTAATAATGATATTTTTTTACAAACAACATTCAATTGAATCCCAATGTTTTGACAAATAAAACTTGTCAATGTTTACATTAGAAACAACAACAAAATAATGAAATAATGGTGGAGATTATTTTTATTCCAAAATAGAAGATCGGACAGACTGGTCATCAGTGAGAAATTTCCAAATTTCGGAAAACATAAAAAGGAGGCTCCCAGTGGCAAGAATAGTTGACACCTATAGTTGAATTGAAAAAAAATTTAAGTACAAAAAATGTACTATCATTAAAATATCTTTCTTAAACAGAATGACTTAGAAGTTTACAAATAAAAAAATTATGATTTTACTCGTTCACTTGTTTAAATTGTGAATACAGAAAACATTAAAAGTTCATGAAACAATAACTAACAAACCAAAAATAGAAAAATAAAATTTCCAAATAGTGACACATAAAAAGTTCAGTAGTATAAAACTGTTTATACATAACATTTAAACAAGCAAAATAATTGTAATTTTAAAATTAAGAAAAGGATGAATTATTGTCAGGTTGATAAACGATTAAAAAATAGGTCTATCTTCTATATCTGTTGTAATTTAAAACTTGCCAGTACATTGGACTGAAAAACATATATTCTTAATGAATAATAAGAATATAAGAGTATAACAAAAATTGTTGCCAAATGGGAAATAACAACTTTTATTTCTTGTGTACATTATTTCCTGTTGATTCATTATCATTCATTGGATGCTTATTTTCAAGAACTTCGTGGTTACAGGTGAACCATTAATTTAAATTTTCAACAAAGATCACATTTTCTAAAGGTTTGTATGCAAATTTTGGCAAAATCAAATATCCATAAATTCAAACCTTTATCAACGAAAATTAGTACCCATGAAAATAAGTGAATCCACAGTAGGCTGAAATTGCACCGACGTCTGGATGGGTTGCTTGAGCTTTAAAGAAGCCCCCCAAAAAAGACCCCAAAACAGGCCATCAGACGTCATAGCAATCATAGACTAGCATCATTGTGTAATATAGTATGAATGTCTTCCCCTTATCTAAACTTGAACAAAATTTTATAAATTGACATCATAAAAAAATATGCGACATAAAAATTCTTTTTTTCAAAAAAAAATTCAGTATATTTAGAAATAATTCTAAGTTTTATTTTTTTTGGTGACAAGCCAGCCCTTTTCTGGAATTTAGAATTTTTCTCATTTTCCTTGATGCTTTAAATAAAAGAAATATACATATATACATTCATTCATATCATACAATAAAGAAAAACTCCTGGAACACACTTGATGTGACAAACAAGGGCTATCCAAAATCTCATAAAAATGTGAGGAATGACATTTTATGAAGTGAATAAAATGCATTGACCTGGTGTATATAATCAGTACACAATATATATACATGTACAGAACACATTACACACCTTTTCAACACAATAAATGCAGGTTCAAAGGTCACAGAAAGCTGTGTCACCTGTTAAAATATACAGGAGAATTAAGACACCTACATCATTTGTACATGACAGATAATACATATAAGGAATAATTTATGGACGGATTGAATTGTAAACAAAATTGAACATTAGATTCCCTGCTATCTAATACCAGGAAATAAGTCTATTTTGTGGATAAACATTTTTAATTTTGAATTTTTCTTAAGGAATGTCTGTTCAAAATAAAAACACCTTGAAGTATAATATTTTCTAATAACACATATTAATAAAACAGATTGGTCATTTCAAGTTTAAAAATGTTGCTTTGAAATCTTTGAGTATAGCAATTCAGAAAACCACAATGTTAAATGAATGGGTCTGTGATAGTAAAAAGTTCACTCAGGCCTTAGATATGTTGATATTCATATTGAACTTGAGTACAGATCAGACTTAGTCACCGTCAAAATTTTCCCAAAGGATTGACCTTGAGTTAATATTAAGTGAATTACTCCAATAAAAAAATATTTTTAAATCTTAATTTGGGCTAACCATACTAGTGTCAGACCTAAATTGCATATTATCATGTACGTTTAGAACCTGAGTTGGGAGTTACATTCCAAGGTGAAAATGTCAATTATTTAAGGTAAAAAACCCTGTCTCCCCTTAATTTTTTTCAATCAATTCTATGAAGAGAAATATCCCCTTTGTTAACAACCCAGTATTCCAAACTTAAGGTGTATTTTTCTCTATCCAAAAAGTTATTCATTAATATACATTTTTTTTCTTGGGCTCATTAATTCACCACTAGTATTTAAACCATAATTTAAAAAATTCTAATAGTAAAGTCAAGTATGGTAATGTTGTTCATCATTGACTTAACATTAAATAAACAAATGACAAGCAAATTTTTAAATAAGCATTGTACCTTAAAAAATATTTAAAGACAAAGGAATGTGTGGTGGACGGAAAAAGTATCACAAATGTTAACATTATCACAATTACATCTTCTTTCTCTTAATAGAAAAAAAGCCCTACTCTACTGTAAAATAGATTATAATAAGCTAGTTTGTTTGTGTATATATATAAATAAAGATCATTTAATTAGCATACATATTAATAGGATTTAAAAAAAATAAATCAATGATAAAATGAAGAACATGTAAGTCATACACTACACAATCACACACTTGCACACGTTAACAGAGTTGACACATGATAACACACAACATTATCACAGCCGAATAATGGTTTATGGTAACACCTCCTTTCGTAATCTGGCTTTCTGTAGAATCTGTGTTCTCTTTCTCCTTTCTGCAGCTTTATTACCTACGGTTTGTTTTAACGCTGGGAGGACGACAGAATCATGATTTATATAAGCTATATCTGGCCTGAAATTTAGAGAATCAAATTTAAGACTAGAATCTTCAACCTGGCTTAACGTATAAAAGAAAAGTTTTTCAATTCATAGCTTATTTATATCTTTATAAACCAGTAGTTCATATATCTTTGTTTATAGTTAAATTAAGTTTCTTCTGCTAGTTTTGTAATGATGACAATTTTCTTCCTGATAACAAGTGGAAACATGATAAAAGTCATATATTGAAGGCCGTACGGTGACCTATAGTTGTTAATTTTTTGTGTCATTTGGTCTCTTGTGGAGAGTTGTCTCATTGGCAATCATACCACATCTTCTTTTTTATACATAAGTTTTGAATAATTAAAAACAAATTGACTGTTAATCATAATAAAGAATCATGAAAATACTAATATTGGATGCAGCACTTTTCCATTTTAATTTGCTAAATTATTTTTAGAATTCATGCACTATGAAAAAAATAATAAATCCACGACATGTTATGTTAAAAAAGATTAACCCCACATTCTTTATGTGCCTGTCCCCAATCAGGAGCCTGTAGTTTAGTGGATGTCATTGGTTCATGTCTGTCATATTTGTTTTGTTATAAATAAGGCCTTTAGTTCTTCATGTTTTTAATTGTTTTCATTTTTCATTGTCTTTTATAGCTGACTATACCATATGGGTTTTATCATTACAGAAGGCCATACAGTGGCCTACAGTTGCTTATATTCACTGCATTTGAACTTTGGTTTATAGTTGTCTCATAGGCAATCATACCAAATCTCCTTATTTTTATATAGGATCCAAACATCTAGTTAAGGTGGTGACTGAAGTGACTACCATGATGATACTGTTACAGAAGAAAACCATAAAAATATACAGACCTTGTTTATTTAATTATTAACACAGACCCTACAGTGACATTGCTATAAAAAATCCTGTTAAATTATTTTGTCAAACCTGTAACAGTTGACTATTGATCTATGACTATCTGTGTGATCTGTGTAAAGATGTGAAACCTGCTGGACAGTTAATATGTGAGTCTGAGTGGTTTTTCGTGTATATGTTTTCTATATATTTTAGCCTCTGAAATCTTACGTATTGGTACTTACAATTTTCTGGACGGATTTTTAAGTGATAACTTAGGTAGTGTTTTATCTTGTTCTTTGGCATCATCTTCCGCTATGTAAGCCTTGGCAAGGAGATAGGCATCAGGTGTCCACTTGTGGGAATACAGTACATCTCTCAGATCTGACTTCAAAGAATCCAGCTGGAATATAAAATGTAAAGTTAACAAGGAGATAGGCATCAGGTGTCCACTTGTGGGAATACAGTACATCTCTTAGGTCTGACTTCCAAAAATCCAACTGGAATATGAAATGTAAAGATAACAAGGAGATAGGCATCAGGTGTCCACTTGTGGAAATACAATACATCTCTTAGATCTAACTTCAAAGAATCCAGCTGCAATATAAAATGTTAAAGATAACAAGGAGAAAGCCGTGAGGTGTCCACTTGTGAGATTACAGTACATCTCTTAGATCTGATTTCAAAGAATCCAGCTGCAATATAAAATGTTAAGATAACAAGCAGACAAATATCACGTCTATTTCTAGAATTTAACATTAAAAAGAGATGGGGTATAATTCCTCTTTTTGGCATTCTGTTGTTGAGATTCTGTCTCATTACCCTAAATTGAAACAAACACAACTATGACATAACATCAAATAATTTAAAGATTTGGTTATTTGCCACTAAGAAGTTAACCTTTTCAACATCTCCCAGTTTGTCACATTATCTTTAAATGATATGTAAGGACTACCAGGAGTTATCTGTCCTTACCTCATGTTTTTGTTGTTCATTAACATGTTGAAGATGTCTTATAACAGCTTCACACTCAGACAATGCTGGGGGTCGCTGAGGATTATTGAACAGAGTTATGCTCCCTGTAGTTAATTGTTCAGCTAATGGTCCTCCACCTTGTGTGACCTGATATTGTAAAGTTTCTATCTTCTGTGACCTTGAAGTAAAATGAAATTAGAAAACAAAGTTATTGGAGATATAAGTAAGTGTCAATGAGTCTGTTATTAACATCATCATAAAAATGTTTGATTAAATTTCAAATCCAGAAATTTAGATTGATTGAATTTTATGTTTAACTTCACTTTCAACACTCTTGGCTATATCATGGCAGCCAGTTTTTATACAGACTTCCAAGCCCAGGATATGATGAGGCACTGCAATATATGTTGCAACTTGCAAAGTCATCGTCTAAGGCTTCATAAATTTATAATGACTGTATAGTACATAATGTGTACAGTAATAGCCAATAAAATTAAGAATGGAAAAGGGGAATGTGTCAAAGAGACAACAGCTTGACCAAAGAGCAGAAAACAGAATGACAGAATGACTGCTCAAATAAAATAACTGCAGTAAGAGGTAGTATAAATGTATGATACAGACTTCCAATCCCAAGATATTCAGGCTTAAAATTTACTAGTAATTGCTTTTCAAGGACCACACATGCAGAATGTGACGGAAAATGACAGTTATTGGTGTACAACAAAGTCATGATTAATCTGAATGATTCTGTTTGCAATGGATACAAGACAACCAATGTGTTACTCAGAACATCCATCATTTTGAAATATTTTGTCTATTTGTTAACAATACCTAAATTGTTCCTATCATTTCCTCAATCCATTGGCCTCTGACTAATGACAAACCAAATCTGAACTGTGATTTAAGTCCATCCAATATCCTTCTTTATCTAATTTTTGAATTACCTTGACTATTCTTACATGTAATATACATGCAGTTACTTACTGTTTCTTTTTGGCATCCTCTGCTTGTTCTAACAAGTTAGTCAGATAAGTATTACGATTCCTTGCTTCTCGTAATGCATGCTTTAATTCTTTAATTTCTTCTTCTAGAAATATAATCTTTAACTCATCTATTCTTTCTTCTGTAAAACACAAAAAGGCCTTGTTTATTATTTATAGCCTAATCAGTTTGATGTATTTCGCTCTCTCGTTTCATTTAAAAAGGTTTTTTCTCCTTACCACAGATTTTTGTTAAGATTTTGATTTCATAACAAATTTATGTATTTTATACTTGAATCTTTAAGAACGCCTTTTTCAGAATAAAGATAATTCTATTTTTAGAATTACATGTAGTTCAAACTTTTCCTCCCTTATATAATTTATACTTTGCTCATAATAAATTTAGCTAATTCTCATGTTTTTTTAATAAAGAATAAGAGTCTTTTTCAAAAACAATGACACTAGTTAGTTACTCTTGCAAGTTTATATGATTATAATGAAATTACAATACTAGGGGTTTTATGGTGAAAATGTGCACCAGAAAGACTGTTTTACTTGCTCAATCATAAATCTGAATAGGATGGAATGGGAATAATATGATTTACTATGCATGCAAGATATATTTGAAGAAATACCTATTACGTATGCTCAAAACCAAAAGTTATGAAAGCCAAAAATTCTAATTGTTCATAAACAAAAATGGGCTAAATAGAATTTCAGCAAAACCATCTAGGTTAACTTTGAAAGAGGAAATTGCAAACTTAGCTTATATTCAACAACATAATTTTATGAACTGGAAATTTACAAGACAAAATATATCATTTGAATAATGGCAAATTATCATATCAGTATCTACTGGGTCTTTGGTACTTCCTGGGAACATGGGGAATGATTGATTAATCATTTTCATGTGGTACTACACATTAAGTCATTATCACCAAAAAAGAACATGGGCTTATTGCCGCTAGCTGATAAGCCTGAGGCATGCATTCTTCCCATAGAACTTAGGGCTACTCCAAAATTTATAAGTTGGGGGGGGGGATGTTAAGCATTCAAATTAATTAGTAAAATGAAAATTTGTATTTTATTGCTCAGGCAGGGGTCTTGAAATATGTGTCTCCCATGCCCCTCCTGCATTTAATTCTGAAACCGCCCTTATTGGACTTTTTTCAAATACAAATACAACAAATTTCTGTAGAATAATCACTAGATTCCCTTGAAATTTTCTTGTTGAACTGTTTTTTATATAAAAATTCGTAAGGGTTCCGCGGAACCCAGTGTCTCGCCTACTTTTCTGTTAATCGCAGGCTCAACAAAAATGAGGTAGTAAATCAATAAAATATTCCTCTTGATACTATCTTCTGATTGTAAGAAGCTTCTGTCCAAGTTTGGTAAAAATCCAGGAGAGTTTATGAATCTAATAAATGTTTAAAAACTTTAACTGCAGACTGAATGTAATGTTAACTGGAAGAAAACAAAATTTCCTTCTAGATACTATCATTTGATCATAAACAAGCTTCTGTCCAAGTTTGGTACAAATCCAAAATAGTATAAGAAAGTTTTTAAAATTTTAAAAACTTTAACAACAGAGTGAATATGTTGTTTCCTGGCAGAAAATCTAAGTCCATTTAAAAGTAAAATAAGGAAAAAATGGATTTATTTTTTTATAAAATTTACTTCTAGATACTATCTTATGATCATAAACAAGCTTCTGTCCAAGTTTGGTACAAACCCAGGATAGTTTAAGAAAGTTATTAAAATTTTAAAAACTTTAACCACAGAGTGAATGTAATATTTCCCGGCAGAAAAACTAAGTCCATTTATAAGTAAAATACGGAAAAAATGGAATTTTATTTTTACAAAATTTACTTCTGGATACTATCTTATGATCATTAACAAGCTTCTGTCCAAGTTTGGTAGAAATCCAGGATAGTTTAAGAAAGTTATTATAATTTCAAAAACTTTAACCACAGAGTGAATATTTGTGGACGCCGCATCCGACAACGACGACGACGTCGACGGAATGTAGGATCGCTATGTCTCGCTTTTTCGACTAAAGTCGAAGGCTCGACAAAAATGAAACCAAGAATATACCTTCTAGATTTCCTTAACATTGTCGACACTGTGTGCTATACATGTGCATATACAAAGGAACAGTAAACAATCTTACCCCGAGATCGTCCAGCAGAGCTAGTTATTTCTATAGTTTGTGAGATCAGAGAATTTGAGGAATATTCTGAAAATCAAATAATTAGTTGTTTAAAATGAAATTACAACAGTTAGCTAGAAGATTAATCCACATTTTAACTGCATTTAATACTACTACTTTCTCAAAATACTTAACAAGACCTTGCAATCAGTGATGTATTGATATGTTATAATAATATGTTCCACAAATAAAATTGCCAATGATAAAATTTGTTTAAAATCAAAATTGATCTAAAAAAATAAACATTATTTTGAAAGTCGATCAGTTTACACTAAACTAATCACTTAAACTAGTTACTTTGAATGATTTCTCAAATGACATCAGTAGTTATTGTTGTAATTTTTAACAATAATGCATTGCCTGTTCAAGATTTGTGGCATAATTCTTAATATTGATCACTGGTTTAAAAATAAATCTGTTTATATCTGTAACATGTGGAGTAATCTTTATGCAAAGTTAGAAAAAAGTTAAATAATCAATAAACAAATTAAAACAACAGAAAACAGTCATGTGGAAAAATATGCAAAATATTATTTTGATTGATTAGAATAATATCTTCATATTAATATTGATTCAAGTAATTATGAAAATTCCCAGATTAAAAAAAAAAGACGAATATCGGATAATTTTCCACAAAACTGTTTGGTTAGAAAAAAATGAAAATGCAGTCATGTTAAGATTTTATGTTACCATATAAATGTGTTTGTCTCATGTTTTAATAAGTCACACAAAATGCACTTATGTCGCATACATGCACCTACACCACTTTCGAAAAAGTCATCAAGTATTATTTGATTGTGCAAATTTTACTGATAGAGAAAACCCATTTAAGAACAGACAAGATATACATATTTGCAAATAAATATAACTTTCCATTTGGAATGAGCGGATGACCCATTTAAAAGCTGCATAAACTGCTCTTCTAAAAATCTAATTTTCAGTTTTCAGTTTCAATTATTTAAACACATGTTACGGCAGAAACTAGTTTTTTGCATCTGGTAACTTCAATTTAAATTTTATGAAGAACAAATGAAAAAAATAAATTCATGTCAATGTAAATCAAAGTACTCACTTAAAAAATGATTAAAAAGTAGTCTCTGAATGTCAGAAGTGTCCCCCATTCATGTACTTATCAATTAAAAGACAAAAAAGATAATATATGTTAACTGATCCACTGAAGTGATCTGTAGATAACGAAGATCAACGATCCAAATACTGAAACCACTTCAAGGCCAAAGTGGTCCACTTATAAAAAATGTGTGGATTTAGAACACACAAAGTTAATTAACATGTGTTTATTCATGACTTAAAGATTGTTATAATACATTAGAGTAAACAAGTAGAATTCAAACCAAACCCAAATAAACAAATTAGTTAGATAATAAAATGTAAAAGATTCTGAAACCAACTCTTATTAGCTAAAGCAAGACTCAATTTTTTGGTTCTCTCATTTCAGATTTCCTCATCATGCTCATCAGCATGGTGTTAAAATTAAAATTGTCTCAACAGAAATTTGGCAAATCTTAAAATTAAGTCATGTGATTAAGCTGTTCAGAGAAATTTGTGTTGCATTGTCTTTTTAAAATGATTCTTCAATTAAATAAAAATTTGATCAAATTCAAATACTAAATTGTTGCATGTAAAATTGGAACACAAGTGTCAAATTTGTTTTGTAAGTTTCATTAAAAAGTTGATCAATAGTATATAAGTTATCTGTTTTGTTCCAAGATAAAATAAATTATTCAAGAAACTTTAAAGTAAGTTCCTGTATAATCTTATTAAAATTTTCTTGAAATTGTATGACGCATTAAACACAATTAAAACAAGTGTAAAACGTAAAACCTTTTGTTGAAATTTTTTGATGAATAAAAATTCTAAAGAACAAGTTATTTTCCATTACAGAATTTCTAATAAGAATTTGCAAATCCAAATACAATAATCAATTCAGTATGGTCCTACCAATGCCATATTTCTAATATTTTACCATAATAAGTAGCTAATTAAAGTTGGCTGACAGCTGTTATAATACACAAAAAAATCATAAAAATTCAAACATTCTTTCCAAGAGTTATCTACCTTTATCCATACCAGCACCACCTCGTGAACGAGATTCTTCTTTCCGACTTTTATGACTATTAGTACTAGCACTTCGTTTTTCTGACTGTTGTTGATTCTTTTGACTCATAATAATCTTAAACTGGAGATCTGAAAAAAGGAGGGCATCAATTTGGTCCCATTTTTGCTCCAAGAGTAATTTTGTGATGCATTAATAATTATATCAATTTCAAAATAAAAGAAAATAAAGTACTTCAAATTTAATGATGTAACTATGTATTTATAGAAGTAAAAAAAATCCAAGGTCTGTATGACCTCTAAAAGCAACCTTTTTGAAATACAAACTGCAGCATTAATATTCAAGCAGAAGCACTTCATCAGTGAATTGACAACTAAGTTGCAGTCTCATCACAGATTCCCCTAATGCAAAACCTGTCATTAAAATACATTTCTATGTTTCTAGTGGTATACAAAATTAGTGAGAGATCTAGTTGCCCAGACTGCTAAATATTGGGTTTGATAGCTAACTTTAAGCTGAAAATGTTCATAGTGCTTTAAATCTTTCATATTGAGACCTAGTTGCAAATTTTTAGTCTTATTCCCTGAAAAGTGTCCCAAATTTATAAAATTTTATCAATTCTGGAATGAAATCTTGTCATTCTAATAGAAAAGTCATACTAATAAGTACTTCATAAAAAGTTGGCATTCTTCACTGGGAATTTCTGCTACTCTTTCTTGTTGAAGAAAGATATACCACAAAGAATATTATAAAAATGTCAGCCTTAAATAACTGTCAACTCTGATTGTTATGTCCTTCTTTTGTGAAAATATGGGGGACCACACTACTAAATAACAAATAGTCAAAATAAAAAAGAATGATCTTTTAGGAGTGTAATTGGTACCATAGAATATTAAAAAATCTACTGTTAGGATTTAAATAAATGATGATTGTCTGTAACATGACCTTTTTCATATGTAAGAGGGTCACAAGGGAAGATATCAAAACAAAAGAACATATGATAAATCTATTTAATTCAAGTAAAATGAAAAAATCTTCAATAGGCATAACCAGCGTCTTTTTAAAATTTGCAAGAAACACAGCAAACAAGCTGCTTTCATGCAGAAGGTGTGTGCCACTACTCCCCCTCCTTATGGCGAACCCTGACAAGAACAAATATCATTTGTTTGCATAAAATTGTCAAAAAGTTTCAAAATATTTTTTCTTCAAACCCAGGATTCTACCCTGTATCATACTTCCAAACAAGTTGGCAAAAAAAATCTATACCATTCACTCCATTATAAGATTTCATGTCTTACTACCTTTGTTTTCCTTTTTAAGTTGGCTAAAAATAATACCATTCACTCCATTACAAGATTTCATGTCTTAATACCTTTGTTTTCCTTTTTAAGTCCTTCTATTTCTTCATGTAAACACCTAAGGACTTCCTGATGTTGTTGTTTAAGGAATCCGATACTCCTCTCAAGATGATGGATCCTCTGAGTCGGATTCATCTCCGTTACATCTTTATCCTCTTCATTTTCTTCATCCTTCTTTCCATCCACAGTTGGATTGTGTTTGTCCTTTAAAAAAAAAAGACAAATATAAAAATATAATGATCATTGTGTATGAAAACAGTTGTATGCACTCTACAGCATAGAGTTGTTAACTGTTAAGCAAATTATCTTAATTGAAACTTTTTTATGCGCTTTATTATCAAAATTTTTTGTTTTATTCATATATTAAAGAGGAAACTAAAGTTTGAAATTTTCGCAATGATCTTTATATTTGTGTTTAAATATATTTGTCTACTCACTTACGCCAAATGAACATTTGATAAAATGGTGCAGAAAAATATGATGGTTACATAGATTCAAAACTATGTTGTACAATGTTGTAGAATAGTTTTTTCTTATATTTAGTTAAATATAGAGATATATTCATCCACCGATTAACAAAAAGACATAAAAACACACAACAGTACACCATAAAAAGTCTGTCATTGACGGACATTATGTTGAGAATTTCTTGACATCATATGGTTAACATTTAAAATTTTCTGCTATGTCTGTTTAGTTACCTTGCTTCTATGACTGAAATCATAATTGTTTATTTAAATCCTTATTTCTTACATGAGTGTGTTCCTTTACAAACTCTGATTAAAATTTAATGATTGGTTTGGGTTCCCAAATAGCTATAAAAGCTGCTGAATGGTGATCTCAAGAGGTAAACATGCATTGGTGGTTTACCAAGATCTCTATTGATACATAATCACAGAAAAATTTAAATCTTCAATTGCAGAAACTAAAATCTCCTAAATTACAAACATCAAGCAAAAATTTGTAAATTCAGAAACTGAAATCTGCAAGCTTCAAGTACAAATTCATATATCTTACCTATAGGTTAATGATAGATCAGCCATAAGTTTACATGTGTACATATTTTGACCTTTTATACATACACCTCATTTGGTCTCTGGTAAATAGTTGTCTCATTGTCAATCATACCAAATCTTCTCATCTATATATACATACTTGAATGGAATATCCTGGTTAATCCTGCAAATTTAACTTGCATCTCATGGATATAAAACACTGACAAGGAATATAACCCATATCTTCTGTGAAGATCCCGAATATTAAACATATAATATTAAATTTACCTTGACAAACGGCTTTGGATAGCGTCCTCTGTCCAGTGTGTTGATGCGTGACCACTGCGGTAGATTACTGAGTGGTGGCAACTGGTTCATGGATAGATCAGCTATCTTTTCCTGTACAACTCCCTGTTTGATCATACTACACAGTCTGTCATGGTTGTTTGTTCATTAATTAGCAATCTGTAAATACATATAGAATAGTTTTACGACATTTTGACCTTGATTTCCAAATTGACATGTTTTATTTCCTTGTTCCAAGTTATTGGCCATTTACATGTATGTCAGTAGCTGTCTTGGTAGGCAAAGGGGACGTTTGTTCACATGTTTAACTGGTTGAACCCCATCACATGGTGAGCTTGTACCAAACATTGCCAAAGACATGAAAAAAGTACAGGCATTTTAACAATAAAAATAACAAAAGAAAAAATATTTTTTTAGGAATTGATGGGAATCAAATTGATAACATGTTACAACATCACTGTCAAGCTGCTGACCAAATTTGAAGTATTTCTGTTCAAAAGTACCAGAGAAAATGGTAACAGAAATAGATGGACAAGGTGAATGCATTATAGCTACATGTATACCCTAACCACAATCACCACCATTAACTTGCAACTACAAATAATGTCCTCCTGAAAATTTCCATATTATAAGTGAACAGAAAAAAAAAAAAAATGAAAATAACTTGAGATGCAAAACCAATTCACGAGGTATTATTTTTTTCATTTTGATATTAAGTACCGATAATATCTATAAAAAATTTAAAAAAGGAAATTTTTGATCTTATATATACCTTCTTTCTCATTGATATTGATATTATCAGTACATGTACTAACATAATTGACTTTCCTTTAAAAATCATAGACAAAAATTCAATATGTTCTAATCAATTTTTCTATTATTCTGATTATTATCTGATATAAATTATACAACACTAAAGTGACTATTTTAAATTTAAAAAAAATTGAAGTTATATCTCTTCGAAACAACAAGTTCTCCCCTTCAAATAAAACACTTCATTCATTAACAAACACTATAATACATGTCTCAGTATGTATTTTTGTTATTAAATTATAAACGAATAAATTTAATAATTTTACAAAATTGTCTGAAAAAGACTATTTACCAGTCATGTCAGTTAATATTTTCAAAAGCTATTTCACAAATGTATTTACAAATTTTACTTGAAGCAAACATTTTCCCATACTTTCTGTACATGTATAATAAAACAGTTATACACAGATTGTTACATCTTGTGATCCGTTTATTTGGCAGTCAGCAAGGTTTAAGAACATCAGTTGTTCGACCTGCTAGTCAAATGCGTTTTGTTAAAATATACTTTTCACTCATTTGGTCTTTTGGAAAATGTTGTTTGTGCTGTATTTAGACCCCTCTACCAAGAAATTTGTTTTGCATGCACACGTATAAAAATTGCGGTTTTTATCCAACACAATCATAGGTTTGAACGTTGTTTTCAATTTAGACTTGTTTATAAAACAGTTATATATATATACTGGCTATTTGGACCATTTTCCCCCTAAACACCAACTATTTTCCTGTGCTTTATGTCAGTAAATAGTTTGTGTCTCTGGGGACCAAATTCCAGTAAATAAGTGATTGGTATCCATACATCATCCATCATCTAGTTTCCAGGCTTACAATCCAATAACATAATAACATTTATACAGGTATTGTACTTGAAAGAGACATGAATATTATATAAATTGTAAAATTACAGCAGAAATAAATATTTAATTGAATAAAAGCATACCTGGTGCTCCATGTACTTCTCGTACTTAAAACATCCTGTATTTATAATCTATCCCGTAACAACTGATCATTTAAAGTGCTGAACCATTATAAAATTCCTAATATTTACATAGAAGACTTGAGGTGAGATTTTACAAGGTGGATCTTCCTGACAATCAAGTGTCAATTAATCAATAATTAATTGAAGTTTTCATCAATTATTGCATGTTTACTATTCTCTGTAGGATGAGAGTCATTCAACATCATACGGCTGGTTAACCACAATGAAAAGTAAGGTGATAATATTGGTTTGTATCAAAAGCCAAATCACATTAAAGATGTACCTAGGCATGTTAGGTGAGGTATAGAAATTTGTGTCAGATGTTCAGAATCCTTTTTTTTTTCCTACAATACAGGGTAAAATATTTTGCCCCATAACACCTATTTTTCTTTTCATATAAAACTTCAATAGCTCAAAAAAGGTCATTTACCAAAGTTTAAGCAGATTCTAATTTCTTTTCTTTCGATTTGAGACCCAAATAATACCAATGCAAATATAAGGTAAAATTCCGAGTCAGCCTTTTCTTTTTTATTTAAAACTCTAATATCTTGAAAAGGAGCTCCATAACCTCTCAATATTTTAGCTTATTTTGTTCCTTAACTAATGCTCTTCTGACTTATAAATAGTATCAATTTTAAATTCTAGATTTTGTTAATTTCACCTAAGTACATCCTTAACACACTGAATTAGCCTCTGAATGGACAGTGTAATCAAACTAACCGTAATTATGAAATCATTCTAATAGACAATTGATAGAAACAATCTGTTTATTATTGTGACATGGTCATGATGGTAGAGGATTAAATATATGATAAAAGATCACTTTACTACCTATTTTTGGCAAATCAAAATATTAATTTATTGCAGAAACGTAGTGCAACATTGTAATTAATTTTATACCCTGATTTATGCGCAGGGTCAATCAATTCTAAAATTTTGAGTTCCACTTATAGGAAATGTAGACCTGGTTGTTCATTATGTATGGTGTAGAAAGAAGTTGCATCGATACCAAATATTGTGGAAAATTACAAAAAACCGATACAATTGTGTATATTACTTAATTAATACTGAAAATGTGTGAACTTTAATATCTTATGAGTGTCATGTAAACATACACTATACCATGTATACAGTCCCTATTATCTGAAATGCATTATGCAAGCTTGTTTTATATATATATATATAATATATTGAAAACACTAAATTATAAAATCTTTTAAATTCTTCGGTTATTAAGAAATTCAAAACAATCAGACTAAACCATATACCTTTGGAATTACAACAATGTTCATGATGTAAGCACTTGCACCAAGACAAGAGAGATAAATCTCTTGTAAACACCTGCACCAAGACAATCAACTATTAATATATCACACCATTCTTTTAAAAGTCCACATGAAAAATTATTAATATAAAGAGGATTAACATGTTTAACTATCAGAGCAGTTCAAATAATATAATATTTACCTTTACAAAATAAAGAGACACACTAGATTTATCTGTTTAAAGTTTGATACTTTAAGTGTAGTTTTCTTCAGGTACAAACCAAATAACAAGAATATTTCCTGCCTTCATGTTAATTATTGCATTCCATTTTTCTTTATCAAGTATAAATGATAATGCATATATTCAGTGTAAATATCTGGCATTATAATACAAGATTAACAAATTTTCTGCTAATATACAAAATATAACAAAAAAATCCCATTTTTGAAGATTGAAATATACCTTCATTTATAAACATGTTAACAAAAGTACATATAAATATATATACATCATTGCTGTACAACCTTATTCATCATGATCATTTTTAATACATACATTATGTATGTACAGTAATGACAGTACTACTTATTTAGGAGTTTATAAAATATAACTACTTGGACTCACACCCCAACAAGGATTAGTATTCAATCATTCAAATTAAAATCAATCATGTCATTCATATATATATTACCAAATGCAAAATATTTCTCTATACTTTCAGTAAACAATTGTACAGCAAAATTCTGGAAAGAATACAATAATATTTAAAGAAATTTGTTGCGACTGTCATACAAGTGAGAGGTTAAGCTAGCTATAAAACCAGGTTCAATCCACCATTTTCTACATAAGAAAATGCCTGTACCAAGTCAGGAATATGACAGTTGTTATCCATTCCTTTCATGTGTTTGAGCTTTTTATTTTGCCATTTGAGTAGGGAATTTCCTTTTTGAATTATCCTCGGAGTTCAGTATTTTTGTGATTTCACTTTTTGGTACATGTATATTTTATTTCAGGATTGTGAATATTATGCGGTTTCAATGTACTAATAATCTGATAATGGGAAAATCTAAAATCCAGGTTGTACTTGCAGTTTTCAAGATTTTTACTAATATTGCAAGAAGTATGACTGTCAAAACATCTTGAGAACACTTGAAGGACATTATCTGAAAGATCTATATTCTATTTCTAGGGAGACAAAAAAGGGGCCTTTTCATACCTTTTCCTTTTAAGAATATTCTTTTCCTTTGTTTTTTATAAAATTCCTTTCAAATGTTTAGAAGAGTAGAAATCAGGAAGTCTCTGACTTTAAAATGTTTAAATCATAATTCCTTCATGATGGGAATACAAGTAATTTCAGACAAAAACAATTATTATGTTAAAAATAATGAAGTATTGTGGATTTAACTATTTTCGTGGGTACCAATTTTCGTGGATTAAGGACAAATAGTATTTTCATGGATATTTGATTTCATGGTTTTACAAAAGTCTGCATACAAGTCTTTGAAGAAAAAATGTGCTTCATTGAACATTTAAACTGTTTTCACATGAATAATGAATCCCCAGTATAAAGCATGCTATAGCAGAGATGCAGATTATTTTTTTTCCTGTCAGACATTGGGTTCTGCATGTAAGACAGTTTTGCCAGTCCTATCAACTGTTTGCCAAACCTACTATTTTTGAAAAATAATAATTATAGTTCCCAGTTGGATTAAGATACGCATTAAAACCTTGACTAGAACGACCAGGTTAAATAAGGATATGACCAAGGGATGGTTTAATGACTGAGACCACATTTAACTTAAATTATCCTGCAACATCAAATAAATAAATGAGAATGTTGTACTACACTTGCCAATAAGACCACTATTCATTAATTCCAATTTTGACGGCCCCAAACAGTAAAAATATTTATCGGTCATTGGGTCTGACACAAAGACGTCATTTGCTGGACCCTCTAAAATTCTGCCACCTATGTCCAACGATTAGCTGCATCTCTGCTATAGTGAACCATGGCATTTTTTTCATGTGTTTTTCAATATTAAAAAATAATATAGATCTGTGAAAATTATTTAAAAAACACTTTTATTTTCTGTTTACAAAGATCTGTTTACATTTCTTTTTTATTTTACATAACTAATTTGTTTGAAGTGCTTATCATGCTTATGATACCCATTATTTGTCCATTGTGAAATTATAAATAAACAAGATTTTTAACCTTGAACTAACATGACTAATGAAACCATAAATAAACCACTGAAATACAAAGTACTAAATTATACACCAAGTCTATCATGGGTATGTCATGTATTTTAACAGTACCTGATGATATTATGATATGTCACTGATCAACAGGTCATTAATAGAAAAAATGATTTAATTGGCTTACAGCCAGTGTTAATTAATTTTTAACAAAAATATCTTTGTTTGAAAAACTTAAATTTAAACTTATTAACCGTAAGCTTCCATATACATGATATATATGATATAGAAGTATAAAACTGAATTCTGGTAAAATATATTCAGGTTTTCAAACTGATTTGTTCTTCATCACTTTTTATCATTTCTATTTATATTTATAAAAGATCAAGTTCATATGTATCTAGCATTTGATCTATAATATTTATTAAGCATTCACAAAACAAACTATTGTCAAATTTAAATACATAATTGACTGTTTAGTCTGTCCTATATACATGATATAGCTATAAAACCAGGTTTAATCCACCATTTTCTACATGAGGAAATGCCTGTACCAAGTCAGTAATGTGACAGTACAGGAACTGCCATCAATACATACCCAATACATTGTAATACCTGCCCACCCAGGTATCTGTTCTATTTTAATTAAAACATGTACAAAATCAGTTCAAATGATAAAATAATTGAATCTGATTGGGTAAGATAAAAATAGTGACGAAGGGATTTTCCACTTTCTATTTTATTCACACCAAGATTTTTTTTTGCTAGTCCGTCGGGCATATTGGATTACAAGTCTTGATTGCCAGAGCTGTAAATGTTTTAGACCAGGGCGTTGGGCTAGTGAATTTGTTAACCCCCTGTTGGCAATCATACCACATCTCCTTATTTTTACATTTAAATTATATTATTCTCAACATATCGTGTCTACAAAAAAGTCACGAGGATTGTTGTGAAGTTCAAGAATGTAAAAGCATAATTTGATGTCAGATCATTTCTTAAAGAGAGAGAAGGGCTTTCATTATTTTTACATCATTGTACATGAGAAATAAAAGTTTGATGGGAGGAAAACTTTCCTCTTTTCTCAGTGTGTGTTTGCACTATACTTAGATTATCTTCAAGAATTTTTTATCATGTTTAGAGAAAATAATGCTCCTCACTTGAAAAGCTTCCACTCAGGAATCAATGTCATGAATGTTATGAAAATTGTTCATTTTTCTACAACAATTTCCTTTGCTGTATGGCTATGCTGCATGCAGATAATACTATTAGTTTATCCGATACATTTGAATTAATCCAACAAGCTCTACTAGCTTTTGAAAGGTATTGCATGTACATGTACAACAGACTTGAAAATAAATACTTTGAAAACAAAAGGTAACTGGTTGCTACATTATACAATGTTTACAAGAGGAAAACCAGAATACAACCAGCTTTTCAGTTTAAGTATTAGAATTCATACCTTAGGGATATTTTTAACTTTTGTACATTGTTGTAAGAGCGAAAATAAATGCAGCTGACAATGCGGCAAAGGTGGGTTTTTTGGGGTCTATCCAGGATATTGCAAAATTGTCTTAACCAATAAAATTACAGCTAAGACTTTTTGATATCCTATAGTACTTTTATTTTTTTTTACGGCTGTAAGGACTATGGGTTTTAAAAAAACACATTAATTTTGGAAAAGATACTCTTGCAATTTTGTAGTTCTAAACAAGCTGTGAGAACAACAACTCAAAATTTCATGATTTACAGTGAGATTGGTCATGTTGGCGGAACTGCAATTGATATCATTATCAAACTTTAAGAATCATAATTTTTGGGAATCAAGATTATCTGCAATAATCGTCAGCTATCTTCTATTTTGTACTCTACAATGTTCGAATTGTACAAATCCAGATCTAAATCAATTAAAAACACATACAGCTGTATTAAGCTAAGATAAACAGATGAACTCATCCAACAATGGCACAGCAGAATTCACAACTCATCCAGGGCCCAGGGGGAATATAATTATTATGTTAATTACATTATGATAAGGCATCAGATATAAGAGCAAATTAATATATGATAAGGACAAATGTGGCCTGGGTGAATATGTGTAAATCTACATTCTTAGAATGCTATAAAACTGCTAACAATCTTAGACATGCACCCTCGGACAATGAATAATTCTGATTTATTATCCATGGATTGGAATATGTGGAACAAGCTTTGGGAAACATTGTCACAAAAGATGTAAAAGAAATCAATCAATGGTTAAAAAACAGACGAAACAAAATCTTGCAAACTGCAACTGCCAACACTTGTGATGTGATGAGTATTTAGCATGTAAAACATACTGTGAAACCATTAAGTATCCTCTGTATGCTTTTTTTCAATTTTCCCTGTCCCCTCTAACCAACAATAAACAGCAGAGTTCAACAATTATGAGATTGTATTTAATCCCTTGTACCTACAATAACAAATCTGATAGAACTCACCCAAAACAAAAACAAAACAAGTCAATATTTGTTTTCAATCCATTCTCAGCCTGCAGAACACATTTTCGAAAATATATCATCTACAATTCAAATTTGGAAGAATGTGCACATATGATTTAAAACAATGAAACAGCGATCACCAACTCCCATCAAATTCACACAATGGCATGTGGCTTTTCATATGCAAATAATGTACGACAGGTACGCCGTATCTATAGAAAATATTTGACCTCGAAAGTGTTTCCGGTTTTACATTTTGGGCCATTCACATTAGAAATCGTTCTTAAAATCATGTTTCTTCATACATTTAGTCATTTTGGGATGGGGGATAATGTCATACTTGGAAAATATCTGGAAATCATCTCTTAAACTGGTCTTTAAAGTGATGCTGAAGAGGAAAACTGGTTGCTAGCCAAATGATAAACAGGGGAGATAATTTGTGTCAGAATCTATCTGATAACCGATTAGTTTAACGTAATACACTACAACGGACGTTAAATAAGACAGGAATTATCTCCCATGTAAATCATCGACTGAGGAAAACGAACTTTTTAATGTTTGGTACGTCTCCGCGATGATGCTACTTTTTATCAGTTCGTAAGAAAACGTTCTACTTATGAGCATAAATTGAAATAAAATATAATGTCATAATTTCTTTATAAATATAACAAGCGAAGAGAACAGCAGTCTATAGATGGCCGAGTTTTGGGTAGTGGTTTGAAATTTTTCAGTGGGAATAAATTCGGCAAAAAATATCGCCCCTGCAAACACTTGAACTTATATAAGTTCACATATGCAAGGAAAAAAAATAAAAAGGTTGGGAGCCCGGCTTCACTTCTATATTCTTTAAGGCAGTGGCTATTTTGCCGGCGCCGGGAACATTTTTGATTTTGTAACTATGTGACTAATTTTGTTAGATTGTATTATTGTAATGTTTTATCAAATTTATAAATTATAGGCAATGAGATTTTTTAACTAATTTTTTTTACAACATACTGAGATTTTATTCCTATGCATACATATAACATTAGACTGTTTCTGATTTTAGTCGGTTAAAGCAGAGACATATATATACTAATAATATGTCTCTGGTTAAAGAGCTCACCAGAGCTCATGTTTCTTTTCTCTCTTATTATGTACATATATGCCGACTTTAAATAAAATTTACTTACAAGAAGTAATTTCAACTACATGTTTTGATATGATTTCATTACTTCAAATGATCGAAGCTCAATATTTTTATTTTTATTTCTTTTTACAAATTCTTCTTTTCACAAGTTGGATTCATATATGTTTTTAAACGATTATATGTGTCTCATCTATTGTTACTGTGTTCTTATTTAACTACATAAGTAATAATTTGATTCTTTTATGTTGACAATGCACATTTTTCGTAGTATTTTTCAAAAGTAAATATTAGAATTCATTCTTTACAAAGAACCGGCAAAATAACATATTCACTATTGCCGGCGCTGGCAAAATAGCCATTTCGCTCGAAAGATAACGGAGAATTATTTTATTGCATAGAACTCAATCTCGGTATCTTCAGCAAAATGACACAAGCTTTCAAAAACTTTCGGGACTAAGGGACATATTATATAATATATATGTCTCTGCTGGACTTATTCCCGTGAGTGAGTGAAAGAAACTTTGATTTAGGGGAAATAATCATACACCGATTAATAACAAAGCTCTTTGTCAAAAAACTAGAATCGCCATAAAAAAAAAAATCAGTGGTTTTTCTTAACGAAAATACGGAGATCAGTTCTGGGAAGCACGGCGAGCAGACGGATAGGGTATCAGTCGGCACAAGCTCAGTGAAAACCGTTCACACATTGTTTTTCAAATTTCAAAATTGGACAAAATGAATTACCGATGTCAAGTTTGATTTCGACGATTTATCCGGGTTCGCTGAAGTTTTGGCATTCTCTTTATTGTTTAAAAAAGATAATTTAATAATATGTAATTATGATAAGTGATCATTGCTATAATTTTCGTAAATTGCTATACATTTAGAGAAAATGCACGTTTTAAAACGAAACTATGTTGATCATGATTAAAAATGTTTAATTTTCAAACTGTTTCTTGCAGGTGACTGTTGTTCAGAACAGAGATTAAATTGAAAGAATTTGTGCATGTGGCATATTTCTTCGCCCTTTTTTTTTTAATTGGGAAGCAATTTTCGGGAAAGTAATAATTCCCATACAGTAACTTCCGTACGGTATGAAGTTACTGAGTGGAAGTTGTAGTACAGGCTGGCTCCACCGCTTAAACATCTATACAATTTGTAGAACAGATACTTTTGTAGGCAAACACATGAGGACTAATTTAACTACATGTATGCGCAGATTTTTAGGTAAAGAAAAATTCAAACACATTTTTTGCACAAACCGTGAGAAAAACTTCATGAATTTAATTAAATTACGATACATTTTTGTCCGAAGATTTTTTTGTGAAATGAACCCTTGCATTGTTACTCACTTAGCTCCTAAACTGTACTGTAAATAAAGCATGTCATATGACTACCAACTAATGGGACAACTATATCCACCAGAAACCAAATGATGTAGATGTATCAATTATAGACCACCGTTACGGTATAGTACGGCCTACAACAATGAGCAAAACTCGTACCGTAAAATATTAAGCTATAACAGGCCCGACATGACATCAAACGAGAAAATCAACGACATAAATCATGGTGCAGAGTTGTCTCATTAGCAATCATACCACATCTTATTTTTATATTTCAATTGTCAATGGTTTTATATGGTTATATGTAAAATAATAAACGAAAAACAAATATGATCGACAGCAACCAACGACAATAACTGAATTACAAACTCCTGACTTGGGGGTAGACATGTATAAAAATATTTTAATCTTTCGATTATTTTTTTGATTTTGCTCTGATATAGAAGCTTCAGGTAGGGTAGTTAATATATTTGGATTTATTACTGCAATAACATTAACGGTACAAATTTTTCTGCACCAGATGCGCATTTCGACAAATAATGTCCCTTCAGTGATGCTCGAGGCCGAAATATTTGAAAATCCGAAATCTCTTATAATATTTAAAACGTCACAAGAGCTAATAAAAACAGAAAGGACCTAAAGTATATCCAAATCCGGACAAGGTAAAAGAGCTTTGCATGAGGGAGATATATTCCTTTATTTAAAATAATTTAAAATAATGTCTAACAGCAAATTTAAGTCTAACAAAATCCGCATTTTCATGCCTGTACTGAAGTACTGGCTAATGGGCTGGTGATACCATCGGGAACTAACAGTCCACCAGCAGGGGTATCGACCCGGTGGTAGTTATAACATTAACGGTATCAATTTTTATGCACCAGATGCGCATTTCGACAACTACATGAAATGTCTCTGCAAAGTGTAATTGAAAAGTATAAATTTTAAGATTTCAATCTGGATACACTATACAATTTGTCGTTCATAACCAAGGTACATGATCAATAGGAAAGCTTGAAATATAAGTATATACTTTCATGAAATAAAAATGTTTTATAGCATTTGACGAGAGGCATATTGACAAACTTTGACTGAATATGACAATCCTACAACTTTTACTGTTACACCACTGTCCCAGGTTAGGGGAGGGTTGGGATCCCGCTAACATGTTTAACCCCGCCACATTCTGTATGTATGTGCCTGTCCCAAGTCAGGAGCCTGTAATTCAGTGGTTGTCGTTTGTTTATGTGTTACATATTTGTTTTTCGTTCATTTTTTGTACATAAATTTATAAGGCCGTTAGTTTTCTCGTTTGAATTGTTTTACATTGTCATTTCGGGGCCTTTTATAGCTGACTTTGCGGTATGGGCTTTGCTCATTGTTGAAGGCCGTACGGTGACCTATAGTTGTTAATTTCTGTGTCATTTGGTCTCTTGCGGAGAGTTGTCTCATTGGCAATCATACCACATCTTTTTTTTATTTATGAAATAATTGCTGGTCATATATCATATCGGCATGTTCTGTGTTTTAATGTTTTGCATGGTATATGTTACTTATATTCCGTAAAAAGCTTATGTTTGTATTGTTATATTTGAACCGAATCAAAAATAAAACTTTCGTATTCGTATTCAACTTATGTTTTAAAAATTTAATGAAACAGATAGTGATTTCAATTTACACATTTTGCTAAATATCTTGTAAAACCGTATTAAGTGCTGGAAGAGTCTAAAGCATTAGTGCGTATGCTTTCCTTTTACCATATTCCTTTGCGCAAGAAAACCATGTGCATGCATAAATATTAAATTTCCCCACTGGATGTCAATTTTCGCATTTCTTATTTAACTTCAGGACACGACAGTAAGAGCTTGACATGCGACTTTGAAGCATGATCACCAGAAAACTGGAATACGCTATGTATTACGCTACCCTCAAACATGAACAAAGTATATAGTAGTCGGCCGAGAATCAGATTAGATCGTCAGTACTTAAATTATTCTGACCTCTATCTGTTTCTCTTTTATGTTTCTTTTTCTTTTTTGGAGTGACTGTCCTATAATAAACGTTGAAATTTTCGAAATACTAAGCATTTTCTACCCCAGGAATAGATTACCTATAGATGTATTTGGCAAAACCTTTGTTTCGAAAGTTTGGGTTCTCAATGCTTTTCAACTTTGTACTTAATTTGGCCTTATTAACTTTTTTTTATTCGAGCGTCACTCACGAGTCTTTTGTAGACGTGCATTTTAGTCCTGGTATCTATATATATATATATATATTTATATCTTCATATCTTTTTATATAGATTGGTTATTTTGAGAACATATTCAAGTATTCAGGCACAAAATGTATTCATAAATCTTCTAAAACAAGATATTTTTTAGAATATTTGGATTGATTTAAGTAACTTCAGGAAATCCTTAAAATTTGAGATATTTTATGAGACCAAAAGAATTGTCATATAAGAGGTCCCAAATGAAGCGCCCAAGAACGAAAGAAACCATCTTGACAGTTGCATGCCACACAGTTACACTTCACATGGAAATCGGACTTCCAATTTTTCTATACCGAATCTAACATGAGTACAGACAGCGTTAATAATAAGTATAAGAATAATTGAAGACATTCAGAAATCAAATATATGAAAGATAAAATAAATGCATCCAGATTATAAAGCAAACTGAGTGCTTAAATTTATATTGCGCTAGGTCTGGGCAATTTGGTCCTCAAATCCAGTTTGCAG